ACCCGATCATGCTGATTTTCGAACTTGACCTGCGTATTATGAATATTCATCAGTTCTGTAAGTTTCAAGTCAAAAGGTAAAATGGTTTTCCACTTATCGTGTTATCGGTGCTGCATATATGCTGAAAAAAGTGAAAAAACAGCATAAATTCCCTAAAAGTGACCCGATCATGCTGATTTTCGAACTTGACCTGCGTATTATGAATATTCATCAGTTCTGCAAGTTTCAAGTCAAAAGGTAAAATGGCTTTCCACTTATCGTGTTATCGGTAAAAGTGCACGGCGACGGCGACGGCGACGACGACGGCGACGACGGCGACGACAGACGCAGATGATGGCTATATGTACAGACACATGTGTCTGTACATAAAAAGGAGAGGGAATGTTAATTACCATTAAAGCGCAGGTACAACAAATTGAGGAGATTAATATAAAGCGTCGTTCCGCTTACAAATTACTTCCTTCTGAAATAGCAATATCTTAGGTGATAATAATCGCATATTCTTGGAAGCACGTGCTTTGAACTCCCCTGGAGATTTGTAAAGCCCTCGCACTGCTCGACTGGTATTGCACTATAAAAAGAAAGTTACGCAGAGAAGAGGAAAAAAACATTCTGGGAGCTTACGAATCAAAGGAATTGGATTATATCATCAGCTTGTACGGCCGACCAACAGGCTGGCCAACAACGAGTGAAGATAAATACATTCACTTGTCTATTTTATAATACACCATAAGATAATACACAATTCTGCTAACATTCGGCTTTAATATTACCATGATAAGATTAGTAGAACAGAACATTTATGACTAATCGACTTTCCTTTCTATATTTTGGTACGCTGTAACTAGAAACTTACCTGTGTGCTGTATTTACCTATCCAGAAGTGCACGTCCCACTTCAATTCCTCGGAACCCTCCTTCTTGTATGTCTGATGGCACAGAAAGGGAAAAATAAAGATCAAGTGACTACAACAGATACTTAACCTTCCATTTGCACGAAAAAAATAACCCTTTATTTAAATGATTAGGTACACAGCTGCAGTAAATGAGCCTAGCTGGACCAAGAAAACATATAGGCCATTATTTTCGTACCGTGACCAGTAAAATCTATGGAGTTTCCTTCTCATGGGGAAAATTTGCGGGGTGGTGAATCAGGATGCGCATCCGTTATCTTACATGTACAAAGCCGTACACACCTGAAATGCGTTCTGACGTTTGTTTGGGGGAATTTCGTATGAGGTTTGGTAGCTTTTGTCCTCATGTTGGCATTTATTCACTGCAAATTGTTGATTTATAATTTTTTAAATACATTTATATCTATATTCAAGGTAGGAGATAATGAGATCACTATGCTTGATGCACTTACGTTCAATACGATGTAAGAGTCGCCACTATAGAATTTTCCATAATCTTCCTTGGGCCAGTGGGTGACCTTGAATTTCTGAAAATAAATGAAAAGCGAGAGCTATCAGTGTACTCTACCAATACCGCTTTTTCGGATGGAAAATGGAAAAACGGGATGCAAACGTTTCGCTGGCAACACATTATTGGGTACATTTACATTTCATGGAGATCAACTGTACATTTTTTATGTTTCTGACTTAATGAGACTAATCATTTCTCTGGTAATCAGGTTGATTTTGCTTTAAAATAATTAGTTTTCAAAGACTGGGTTAACAATAGGAACACTGTGCAAGATTTTCCTGACACTGACTGTTAACGATTGGGGGAAATGTTCAGATTTTGCCTACATACGAGTGCGATAGACAGACAGAAAACAGCTCGTGTTTGGATGGTAAATTATGAGTTTATAGACATGTGTCTGAGCATATTCGAAACTAAATGTAAAAAACAGTTTTTTTAAATATTATAATTTGCATCCACCAGCTATCAGTTCAAGCAGGCACCCTTTGAATAAATCCATGCAATCTTATCCGGACGTACGGTAGCCAAGAGTGCCCATGATATCATTTTATCGCGACAAAACACATGACGTTAGTTGGCGGGCTGTACGCTATCAACATCTTCACTTTAGTGTATTTGCAGGGATCCCCTTGTGTTTATCAAACAAAGTAGAAGGGCACTCATATAATTTATTGTAGGACTGAGTCAAAGAGGCAGGGTTTTACAGCGGATTCTACTTACCACAATACGCCAGATCTGCAGACCAACTTCTTGCCCGGCCCCTTTCCACGCAGGCTCAGTCTCGGCCGAGGCCTCTAAATTGAAAATTATACAAATTAATTCGGTTTAGTCCACCCATTTCGTTACGAATTGTTTTCATTTCGCTGTGATATTTTTTTACTGACTATGTTTGGAATGTGTAAAGACGACCTCGTGTGCGTGTGCGTGCTTGTCGCGCGTTTCATGGGAGCACGAGCATCCTGAGCTCTACGGGATGTTATTGCAGGGACCGGATAAGTACCGGGAGATATTACAAGAGTGATATATCAGTCACAGTATGATTTTCCTAAAAACTCCTGGGAAGAGGCTCCAACGACTGTAACAGCTTCCTATATCGTCTTCATATAGGGGTCTTCTTTTGCACTGACAAAAACAGCTATTCGTTTACAATGAACAATTTTAGCAGGTATCGGTAAAGGAAAATCATCTCAGCCTGCCAAGGAGAAGGTTCACTTCGCTCGTTTTTTCTCATCCTGTCTGGAAGTAGGGCCGAATGCTGTTTCTGAGAGCCTACCTGGATGCACTTGGCTATCTCAGAACTTAGTATATATGGATTTAGACTCGGGGTGCATATATAATCGTAATTCACAAAATGACATAGAGTATCACTATTCATAAGATTGCAATGCACGCACACGGGGTCAAGGTTTTCTATATAACATGGAGTTAAAACAGATCATACCGGATCGTCAGCCGTTCGATCAGTGTTTAAGCACAATCTTGCACGTTTATAAACATTCTTGTGGCCTGTAAATTATGCTCTTTTTCCCCAAGCATCATATTTGCAAGGCAAACATCACTGTGCTCTCTACCAGACCATGAGCGAAAATCGGCATTATACGAAGCATCAAACACAGAAGTCTGACGTTTTAGACCGCTTCTTAAACAAGTCAAAGTCTGTGGGAAACTTCTGTCATTAGCAACAAAATATCGGTGCCAAAGGTGAGCATCAGGCTTGGTGGTCATTCTTACATAATCCTTTCGAAAGGTCAGGTATTCCTTAATAATTAACAAATGCAGCATACCCCCTTAAACCTTCACTGGTAGAGGGCTAAACGTAATAAAAAGGATGTTTAAATTTGCAACACCTGTAGGAAAGATAATTTCCCAACATTTCCATTCACAATCCATATTTTACACTGATAAAAACCCCATGCATTTTGGACCGATAAAGCCCTTCTTTCATGTGTGTTGCCAGAGAGGCCCAAATCTAGTCGAGACCAATGTGCAGAGGGCTGGTATGAAATATGGAACGGATTAAGAGTAGGCTGAACAGAGAAACGCTGCAGCCCAGCGGAAAGGTAACCATCTGCCAAGCTTCATAAACGCAGCATGAGCTACGAGATTTATCAGATAGGGCTTTACAGCAGGCCTTTACCAACAACATTGAATAATTTTTCAGTTATACATGGCACTGCCAGAGACAGCAAGCAAATCATGATTGGCCAATAAACCCTATTTCAGATTATAATATTTTTACGAAACTCCCGATTTCTTAATTAGCAAAACTTCGCTGTAACGTACGCTGTCCTCATCTCTATCTTAGTTAGGAAATAATTCCCTGTTCCCGTTATGATCTAGACTTCATCAAGAGTGCATTTAAAACTAATACACAAGTAAATTAGGAGCGAGAATGAAATGGCTGAACGAAAAACAATCATGAAATTCTCGTGTGAAAGGATGACCACCGTAGTTGGAATGTTATACATATATAGGTTTACACGGCTGGAAATAACGGGTATTAATGTGTTAATACATGTATAATAACAAATTCCGGATATAGCTAGATCCAGACTGGGCAGAATATGGAAATATTAAAATGGACTTAAAATGGGAAAAGTCAACCACACTTACTCTTTACATCCCTCTCAAGTTTGCTGCCAAAGAGGGCCAAGTTGGAATCCTTCCAGTTATACTTCTTTGCTTTGACTAAGCCTACAATACAGAGCAGAGGAAAGATTGTGAACAAGACAGCGAGGTCATGAAGTGTTCACATCCGACGTGTTGTATAATGGGGGGCGTATTGCCCGTCTCATCAGTTTTAAATTGCAATTCCTACATTTCAGATAATTTTTTTTAAAAACCTGTANCGGCGACGACGGCGACGACAGACGCAGATGATGGCTATATGTACAGACACATCTGTGTCTGTACATAAAAAAGGAGAGGGAATGTTAATTACCATTAAAACGCTGGTACAACAAATTGAGGAGATTAATATTAATAGTCGTTCCGCTAACAAATTACTTCCTTCTGAAATGGCAATATCTTAGGTGATAATAATCGCATATTATTGGAAGCACATGCTTCATGAACTCCCTGGAGATTTGTAAAGCCCTCGCACAGCTCGACAGGTATTGCACTATAAGAAGAAAGTTACGCAGAGAAGAGGAAAAAAAAACATTCTGGGAGCTTACGAATCAAAGAAATTGGATTATATCATCAGCTTGTACGGCCGACCAACAGGCTGACCAACAACGAGTGAAGATTAACACATTCACTTGTCCATTTTATAATAAACCATAAGATAAAACTCAATTCTGTTAATATTCGGCTTGATAAGATTAGTAGAAAAGAACATATATGACTAATCGACTTTCTTTTCTATATTTTGGTACGCTGTAACTAGAAACTTACCTGTGTGCTGTATTTACCTATCCAGAAGTGCACGTCCCACTTCAATTCCTCGGAACCCTCCTTCTTGTATGTCTGATGGCACAGAAAGGGAAAAATAAAGATCAAGTGACTACAACAGATACTTAACCTTCCATTTGCACGAAAAAAAACAACCCTTTATTTAAATGATTAGGTACGCAGCTGCAGTAAATGAGCCTAGCTGGACCAAGAAAGCATATAGGCCATTATTTTCGTACCGTGACCACCAAAATCTATGGAGTTTCCTTCTCATGGGGAAAATTTGCGGGCTGGTGAATCAGGATGCGCATCCGTTATCTTACATGTACAAAGCCGTACACACCTGAACTGCGTTTTGACTTTTGTTTGGGGGAATTTCGTATGAGGTTTGGTAGCTTTTGTCCACATGTTGGCATTTATTCACTGCAAATTGTTGATTTATAATTTTTTTAAAATTCATTTATATCTATATTCAAGGTAGGAGATAATGAGATCACTATGCTTGATACACTTACGTTCAATACGATGTAAGAGTCGCCACTGTAGAATTTTCCATAATCTTCCTTGGGCCATTGGGTTACCTTGAATTTCTGAAAATAAATGAAAAGAGAGAGCTATCAATGTACCCTACCAATACCGCTTTTTCGGATGGAAAATGGAAAAACGGGATGCAAACGTTTCGCTGGCAACACATTATTGGGTACATTTACATTTCATGGAGATCAACTGTACATTTTTAATGTTTCTGACTAAATGAGACTAATCATTTCTCTGGTAATCAGGTTGATATTGCTTTTAAATAATTAGTTTTCAAAGACTGCGTTAACAATAGGAACACTGTGCAAGATTTTCCTGACACTGACTGTTAACGATTGGGGGAAATGTTCAGATTTTGCCTACATACGAGTGCGATAGACAGACGGAAAACAGCTCGTGCTTGGATGGTAAATTATGAGTTTATAGACATGTGTCTGAGCATATTCGAAACTAAATGTAAAAAACAGTTTTTTTAAATATTATAATTTGCATCCACCAGCTATCAGTTCAAGCAGGCACCCTTTGAATAAATCCATGCAATCTTATCCGGACGTACGGTAGCCAAGAGTGCCCATGATATCATTTTATCGCGACAAAACACATGACGTTAGTTGGCGGGCTGAACGCTATCAACATCTTCACTTTAGTGTATTTGCAGGGATCCCCTTGTGTTTATCAAACAAAGTAGAAGGGCACTCATATAATTTATTGTAGGACTGAGTCAAAGAGGCAGGGTTTTACAGCGGATTCTACTTACCACAATACGCCAGATCTGCAGACCAACTTCTTGCCCGGCCCCTTTCCACGCAGGCTCAGTCTCGGCCGAAGCCTCTAAATTGAAAAGTATACAAATTAATTCGGTTTAGTCCACCCATTTCGTTACGAATTGTTTTCATTTCGCTGTGATATTTTTTACTGACTATGTTTGGAATGTGTAAAGACGACCTCGTGTGCGTGTGCGTGCTTGTCGCGCGTTTCATGGGAGCACGAGCATCTTGAGCTCTACGGGATGTTATTGCAGGGGCCGGATAAGTACCGGGAGATATTACAACAGTGATATATCAGTCACAGTATGATTTTCCTAAAAACTCCTGGGAAGAGGCTCCAACGACTGTAACAGCTTCCTATATCGTCTTCATATAGGGGTCTTCTTTTGCACTGACAAAAACAGCTATTCGTTTACAATGAACAATTTTAGCAGGTATCGGTAAAGGAAAATCATCTCAGCCTGCCAAGGAGAAGGTTCACTTCGCTCGTTTTTTCTCATCCTGTCTGGAAGTAGGGCCGAATGCTGTTTCTGAGAGCCTACCTGGATGCACTTGGCTATCTCAGAACTTAGTATATATGGATTTAGACTCGGGGTGCATATATAATCGTAATTCACAAAATGACATATAGTATCACTATTCATAAGATTGCAATGCACGCACACGGGGTCAAGGTTTTCTATATAACATGGAGTTAAAACAGATCATACCGGATCGTCAGCCGTTCGATCAGTGTTTAAGCAAAATCTTGCACGTTTATAAACATTCTTGTGGCCTGTAAATTATGCTCTTTTTCCCCAAGCATCATATTTGCAAGGCACGTAGTAAACATCACTGTGCTCTCTACCAGACCATGAGCGAAAATCGGCATTATACGAAGCATCAAACACAGAAGTCTGACGTTTAAGACCGCTTCTTAAACAAGTCAAAGTCTGTGGGAAACTTCTGTCATTAGCAACAAAATATCGGTGCCAAAGGTGAGCATCAGGCTTGGTGGTCATTCTTACATAATCCATTAAGTAAGTTTCGAAAGGTCAGGTATTCCTTAATAATTAACAAATGCAGCATACCCCCTTAAACCTTCACTGGTAGAGGGCTATACGTAATAAAAATGATGTTTAAATTAGCAACACCTGTAGGAAAGATAATTTCCCAACATTTCCATTCACAATCCATTTTTTACACTGATAAAAACCCCATGCATTTTGGACCGATAAAGCCCTTCTTTCATGTGTGTTGCCAGAGAGGCCCAAATCTAGTCGAGACCCATGTGCAGAGGGGTGGTATGAAATATGGAACGGATTAAGAGTAGGCTGAACAGAGAAACGCTGAAGCCCAGCGGAAAGGTAACCATCTGCCAAGCTTCATAAACGCAGCATGAGCTACGAGATTTATCAGATAGGGCTTTACAGCAGGCCTTTACCAACAACATTGAATAATTTTTCAGTTATACATGGCACTGCCAGAGACAGCAAGCAAATCATGATTGGCCAATAAACCCTATTTCAGATTATAATATTTTTACGAAACTCCCGATTTCTTAATTAGCAAAACTTCGCTGTAACGTACGCTATCCTCATCTCTATCTTAGGAAATAATTCCCTGTTCCCGTTATGATCTAGACTTTATCAAGAGTGCATTTAAAACTAATACACAAGTAAATTAGGAGCGAGAATGAAATGGCTGAACGAAAAACAATCATGAAATTCTCGTGTGCAAGGATGACCACCGTAGTTGGAATGTTATACATATATAGGTTTACACGGCTGGAAATAACGGGTATTAATGTGTTAATACATGTATAATAACAAATTCCGGATATAGCTAGAATCAGACTGGGCAGAATATGGAAATATTAAAATGGACTTAAAATGGGGAAAAGTCAACCACACTTACTCTTTACATCCCTCTCAAGTTTGCTGCCAAAGAGGGCCAAGTTGGAATCCTTCCAGTTATACTTCTTTGCTTTGACTAAGCCTACAATACAGAGCAGAGGAAAGATTGTGAACAAGACAGTGAGGTCATGAAGTGTTCACATCCGACGTGTTGTATAATGGGGGGCGTATTGCCCGTCTCATCAGTTTTAAACAAGAATCAAAATTGCAATTCCTACATTTCAGATAATTTTTTTTAAAAACCTGTATATAATATGGGAGCTAGAAAGTTAACGCATTACTTAAAACTCACATGTTACTGTCTATATTTGTCAATGTTCTTTTTTGACAAACGATACGCTCTTGCATTTAAAGCATCTACATTATGTATCATAATATGCTGAAAACATTTCAACTCACCTGCCATTGTTTGTTCACCTTGATATTACCTTGAAAACATTCAAGTAAGATTTTTAAATTAAAAGAGACAATTTTAAAAGAGTCAATCAAGTGGAAAGTTAAAGATGTCACGAGCTAATGCTGTAAATAGCCATGAAAACACTGCAGATTTAAATTAAAGATGTTCACATATTTCGCTTATTCATTTCCCCAACTCTAAAAATCAAATAAACTTGGTTAATTGATATAAACTCTGTTATTTTGGGTTGAGGCTGTTTTTGTCCGTAATCACCACAATATGAGTCATGCAAGATTTTTATCTTTATGTACTCAATTTAAAAAGACTCAATATGTGCTACTTTTTAATATAAATTAGAATTAAAATAGATATATCCGGAAACAATTCTATTCGGTGGTGAAACGTTTGTACACGAAACTAGCAAGTTTGAAAGGGTAGGAAAACTAGGTAACCTTAGCTGACAAGAAACACCTGTCAATGCTTCTAGGTGTTTCTTGTCAGCGAAGAGAAGTTAATTTAATTTACATTAGCAAGTTTTGTTCGCACAGCTTCACCTCAACTTGGTAACGGGACATACCCAAAACTCAATGACTCATAATGAACAAACCTAAATCTGAGCAGAAGAATCTCATTACGTAACCACGAATTTTTGGCGCCTGTCTATAGGTAGAGGAGGAAAAAAGTCCAATAAAAATATGGCTGGCGGTAATAAAAAGCGTAGGCATGCCTAGATAACATAAAATATTGAGAAGAACGCATTAAGTGTAGTAATTATCTGCTGAATGTAAACAGTCCGACTTAGTAGACATACACTCGCAGACAGAAGAGATCTTAACATTTCATCTGGGGCGAGGGTAGTGCACCTAAAGAAACCGTTCTTAAAACAGCTCAGTAATTTTGCCAGAACAGGCTTACTGGAGTGATATACCGTTTTAGTTAATATATTGTCTTAACGCCAGATGTATGAACTAGAGAATCAGTAAGGATACAGGCATATTATAGCATAGATGTCCATTTGCCAGGTGCCTTGACTCACACATTTTTCTCCAAGGTGCAGGTCTATATCGCAAATATAATATAAACACTTCGGCTCCCCCTTTCGCTTACATAGCAGCAAACCACTCATATAGCAGTGGGCTTTATACCATCAATTACTCATGGACTTCCAGAGTCGAATATCCCACAGAAATAATGTTTTAACTTAAAAGAACCAAGTATATTATGTAAAATGTAAATTGATCGTTAAACAATAACGTCTACCTCGCCTAGTCGGCCTAGTTGACATCACATAGCAATAGTAAATATATTTGCAACTTTTAGTTTTACGTTTTACTTTACTCAACATTACTAAAGCTCGCCGACAAAGGTCAGTTCGACCTGACCCACATTTAAGTCTAGAGCAAAATAACAAACTTGTATACAGCACACAGTCATATCAACACGATAACGTGCTCGCTAAAAGGAACAAGCGCTTTATGAATTGGAATTGTTTGAAGCAAGATTGAAGAGGGGGTGTTGCAACTAAAATAGACGCATCAAAATTGAAATCGCTAGTATTGTAATTGAAATTGGAATCGCGAATAAGGTGTAACGTAATCATTCCTTACATATTTCCATTTGGCCTTACAAATTGTAGGCGAGATTCAGTTTACGTTTTCCTTTGGTATTATTCTTGTCCTACTGTTCAGAGCATACCTGTGTCTACTTACCTAGCTTCAGGACCGTGAATTGGGATGTGGCCGTTCCGAATCTGACTGGATGAAATGTGGGCTGGGCCGTGAAAGGTAAGTAGGCCAAGTGACGTCATGCACGTGTAAATGGAAACGATTGACGCATTCAGTCACTGCGGTAGGTGTATAATTCGAGTCAGAATTGTGTCCTGCACCTCTAATGGGTGTATACACCTACTGCAATTCTATCTGTAATTATGCAGTTTTAATAAATTTTATTAAGCAACAAAAGGAAAAGATTTGTCAATTAAATCTTATTATTTTCGTGCTTTAGTTTTCTAGTAAACATAGCAAATCTTTTGAAAATGATCTTGTGAAAGTCTACAAAAGTGTTTCGTTCTGATAGTTCTGTGGAAACGATGCCTTTTTTATGAGCCTGTTTTTGCATATCTCATTTCACGCGATTCGTTATCATAACATTAACTATTCTAAATTAAAGATATATGAAGCTTACACTGCATTATGTAGATATGTCAAAACAGCACACAGCAATTATAAATCCAATATATTTCTAATCGCAGTGGCAAGTACCAGCGACAATAATTAATGGTGAAATTAATTCGTTTTCCACCTACAGGTACATTAAACCAGTTTTACATGCTTGTGAAAAGTGGAAAGGGTATCCTCCAACAAAAAAAGCTTAAAAGTAGCCTCATAAAACTACACAAAGAAATCAGAAATAAACTCCTCACTAAATGCATTAGTGAGAAAGTTTACTGATATAATGCAAAACATAACAACATTCGAATAAATATCTAAAAAATCAAATTCTGTTTCTATTTAGAAAAATGCTTACATAATTACAATTTTGTGACAAAACTTTTTACTCTAGGCCGTGAACTAGGATCTTTGTTACACTGTACCATGACCACAGTTTGATTTATTACTAGTTTTTCACAAACATGCGCGGTCTGTCCAGTGAGAATTTATGTATGGAATTGTCATTAGTAAGCAGGCCTCTGGCATGGAGTAGATATTTATAGTGGTGGTCAAACCATGATAAAGAAAATTAAAATATCTTCGAAAGTAGAAAAGAATTACAGGGTACCCAATAACACCAATAACTAGACGATTAACTTTTTCCATAAATTTATTCTACTTCAAAACCAGTCCTACCGCCTATTTCATAGAAGGCTAAGGCAAAATCAACAATATTTAATCCATGATCTGAAAATTCAACATTAATTATAACAATCAAAATGAATAATCTCTTGCTAATTCCTACACGAGCCCACATTTTACAAAGTTAATAACGGTTAATATAGAAAAGAGAGGGGAAAAACAGCATTGATTCAAAAATGTCATACATTCATGTTGTGTAGTGGTGGTCAAACCATGATAAAGAAAATAAAAATATCTGAAAGTTGAAAAAAATTACAGGGTACCCCAATAACACCAATAACTAGACGATTAACTTTTTCCAAAAGTTTATTCCACTTCAAAACCAGTCTTACCGCCTATTTCATCGAAGGCTAAGGCAAAATCAACAATATTTAATCCATGATCTGCAAATTCAACATTAATTATAACAATCAAAATGAATAATCTCTTGCTTATTCCTACACGAGCCCACATTTTACAAAGTTAATAACGGTTAATATAGAAAAGAGAGGGGAAAAACAGCAGTAAGTCATTGATTCGAAAATGTCATATATTCATGATGTGTTTTCCAGTGTATCCATTGTATCATAATGTTCTGCTTTAATATAAGCTAAGGCTTTTGTTCGATGCGACTCTTAGCATGACGCCATTGCAAGTTTGCATATCGAATAAGCAATAACTAGTTCTGTATATCTTGGACGATGTTCACGTTAAAATGATTTAGTAGTGAAGGCATGGCCATCCCTTGTAAAGTGACCGACAGAGGAACTCTGTGCTCATATCTAGGCAGCAAACGCCATGTCCATGGTTGCGTCCACTTGACCTTGTTTTACAACGGTTATTGGAATAAAGGGGTTGGTGCTCTTCATCAGATATTGCTGCGGTAGAGAAAAACCATTTGTTAAGAAAGAAGTAAATGCACAGCAAAAAGGGCAGGGTTTAATTATTTTAATTATGTTAAAACATACTACAAAAAATTTTTTTAACCTGTGAGATGACAAAATTGTTACAGTATTAATGACAGTTATTGTCGATACAAGAGCTGGTCAGTGTTATACTTTTTAATGTTTTGGTAAAAATAATCGCAATCGATTTAAGAACTGTCACATATAAAGCCTGCACCTTGAATGAAGCTTCGGTTATGCTTTATCTATGTCAGAAATTAAACTCGATTCTTTGGTTGACCAAATAATAAGGCACACCAGGTTAAGCTTATGGTAAGCTTACATTGGGAAAATACGATATCCACATTTTCTGATTCAGTTAAAGGGCAAATTTATTTTTGTAAAACCATCTTGACGTGAGCAACGTGACCTTTAGGCACTTACGTGAGCCATTGTCATGCCCTTGGTCTTTTCTGCTTTAGAAGCATCTTCGCCTACCCACACGATACAGTTCTTTCCATCATCCAGAAGGAAAACATCCTACCAAAATGAAATTGCAGACAATAAATCGAGTAAAATATATATCATATAATCTACTTTTCAAAAGACGCCGCTGACACAATGGAATTTTAGATCCAATAGAACTTTATACTTTAGGGAGGAAACTCCCTCAAGCAATAGTAGGTAACAGATTTTATGAAATACCAGGTGCGCATACAAACTCTAGGACAGAAAATATACAGCAGCACGAAGTTTAATTCAATTGATGTTAGCGTAAAAGGATTATTATTTTTAAAAAATGCAAATGCAATTTTTTACCGCAGGGTCCAAAAGGTCTTTCGTCACAGCATCTCCTTCTGCTTCCAGTTTCATGTCGAGAGATCCATCGGCGTCTGACAAACTGGAAATCGAAACCGATCAGGGAAAATAAGAAAATAAAACAGCTGCTTTCGTTTCACATATTAAATATATTTCCTTTTAATTATGATAAGTATGAGTAAATCTAATATGAGTAAATCACTGTGAATAATGATGCCATTTCCAAATTTATCCAAAAAACATGTTCTTGACGTCTAAGTGCTGCGGCATCAAAGTACCCAATAACCAGTGCCAAACGCATTTTACCATATTTTAAAACTTTTTATCCGTCACAGAATTATCATCTGACACCAAGTTTGCTAGTGAAGAGTGTTCTTTTCATATATCTAGCTGCCAAATAAAACATACATGCCCTTTAATTATTGCAAACCATGTACGGTGAAGTAAAAATCTACGCATCATGTTTGCATTTATGATGTCAATGTTGTAACGTTAACTTACACGGTATATGCACGCGCACTTACCGGTAAAGTTCTTTCACTTTTCCCGTGTCCGCTGGTTCCGAATCGCCGTTCTCTGGCTCGCCGTCTTGCAGATGACTGTAGAATTCGTGCTGTGGGAAGAACGAAGGTATATATATACGTCAGGATGTAAAATTTCCGAATTTATTCTATGAAATGTAGGTTTGAGCGTTTTTATACATTTGCATATAGGCCTACGTATAAATAACTAAAAGTATGGGGGCTGCAACATCAAATCTTTAGATATAAAAATGCACGATAGTTCAGATGGACATGACTGGGTTTAGCTGTCAGTAACGTTCGTTTCGTTTAAATGCAATGATCTGTACTTATTTTTCTAATTTTCCAACTTTTCAATTTGCCCATTAAAAAGTTTTATACTCAACCTAGGGTTTAAGACTGCAGCAGAAATAACAGTGTGCACTAAATTCATGCCATCCGTGAAAATACACATATAAACACAGAGAAAGAGACAAAGGAGAGAGAGAGAGAGAGAGAGAGAGAGAGAGAGAGAATGCTTGTTAAACTATAAAATATAAGCAGTCTTCTCGTCGGTTTTGCAGAGTCATGGATTGCAGGCACTTCAATATAAGAAGCAATCAATCACGACGATTTTCAATGCTATGTAGTAGTGAACTTTTTCGCTTAAACACTATTGGGGAAGCAAATTCGTCCATGCATGTTATAAAAGGGTACAACAGGGTTGCAACACTGTTGAAAGGTATAATACAAATGACAATTAAAACGTAAGTCCTGTCAGTATGATGCACTCATTACATTATAGATTATAATTCACCGTATTATAGCATTCGGGGAATGATGTTCCAAAAACTTTGCCCTTAATGTTTACAGCGAGATCCAAACTGCAGCATGCTGTATACATTCTAATTGCAAAATGGAGTGTAAACTGCGCTTTTTACATAAAACGATTTCACAGCAACTATAGTGATGAGTATTGCATGCTAAAGTTTTTATCATAATATCACTCAAGTTACTTCAGTGATAAAAGAGACAAAATTGCGCTCATGACGGTCTGCATAAAACTCAAATGTCAGTCTTGCTGACATCGTGCAGCTCACTGCATGCGGTCGAGGAACACTGATGCAAAAAAGTGTCACACCGCAACTTACTGATTTCTTCAAGAAGCTCACTTTTCGCGCGACCACCGCGCTTACCTTCGAGCTGCTAGCAAAGGACCTAAGAATAAATAGCAAAAATGTAAAACATGACCTTAACCTAAAAAAGAAATTTCACAGAATGAATACTTACTGCAGTAGAGACATCATTCTCGTCAAGAGTCTCTGCAGACGCTTTGCCATTCCTTTCGTCTTTGATCTTTTGAAGATATTGCACTGCCTATAAACATATATACTTAAATCATGTAAAATTATATGTGTACATAATTATCACATACGTATATTTAATAAAGTATATCTCCTTAAGGCACACGCAAACACATACAACCTTTCGCACCAATATGCTAGCAAAATTTTGATATACAAAGTACACTGTACTTCATCTGTAACAGCACGGCATGCTCCACGTCGTATTACCCCACCTCACTTCAATGCAATAACCACTAAAATGTATTATATTATCCATATGTATCACATGTTTGTTACACTAAATATTCAGTTGGTTTCAATGCTACCCGGTAGTACAGACAACTGTGCTTGATGACAAAATGCACAACAAACGCACTCTCATCTGGAAGAGTCACATATCTTACGTGATTTTTTTAAAAGTATTTCACATGAATAGGAAGAAGATACAGAAATTCATGCATATGACATTACTTTGATCTCAAAACCCACCCACCTACCCACAATAAATCTAAAGAAAACACACAATATATAGGAAACCACCGCAGTAGCTGGTTAGACTGCCTTATAAGAGACCAAGAGTTATCCGCTTGAAACACTACCTTGAACCGCTCATCCTTGTTGGAACCACTGCCGTTCCACTGATAGAGTTTTAGTCCCAGATCCAAAATATACACATCACCAGAACTGAGCAACGACTTATACAGTGGAACCTATTTTTTAAACAAAAAATAGTAAATGGTCGTTTCCATTCATACATCTATTAAAATACCTATATAATAAAAAATAAAAATGGTAAACAAGTTTTCTCAAGTTTGCTACCATAGTTGATATATACTAATTCAGTTTAATTTGGCATTCTGATGTGCATCAAATCTTGGAATTTTAACGACACAGGTACAGAGATCTAATAGAATGTGCAAACCAAGTCTGACCAAACTGGTGTCGCTCTATGACTTAGATCGATCCATCTGAATCGACCTAACTTCCTGGGGGTTCACGCTAAATTGCTATCAGCTCAAGAGGCTTAAATTTCTGTCACGCCTACCGAATCAGCTAGGGGTAAAGATAATTACCCCTTAACAGTTTTACTAGGCGTGACAGACGTTTAAGCCGGTTAGTTTGATAGCAATTTAGTGAGACTCCCCAGGGAGATAGATCGATCCAAATATCTGTGGGAATGGTCCCTATTTCACCACATTCGAGTACGCACCTCTTTGACTTCAATATGGCCCTTGGCGCCACTGAAGTGCAATAAACGAGGCTCGTACTGTTCGGGGGCCACGTGTCTGAATCCGGTGTCACATCCCCCTTTCAGCACACTAAATATAAAACAGCGGAACATTTAATTCTTGGTGTTAGATGTAGGCCTACCTCATCAAATTCTAATTCTCGGAATTACTGAATTCCAACCAAAAGGCCTTATTATGGTGATTTCTTCTTTTTTTTATGTAACAAAGTATTTAGAAAACCATGAAAACACTCCTCTTTTAATCAAGTCTATTTTCAATGCAGGCCCTACAATCATGATCTTCAGATCAGTACAGCAGAACTCTGTCGTACAAGTACTTGCTCGTTCTACTTCAGAATTAGCAAATCCGTGCCCTTTCCCCTGTGCGCGTTTTCAGCCACAACTTACGAAATCTCCTTGAAGTAAGACTTGAATTTTTCGGATTCGTAACCCTCCACTTCTCTATGCTGCACTGGTCCATCGTCCAACAGAGTGTCCAGTTCCACAGTCTTGTAGGCCGCAGTGCCGTACTCATCCTATAGAAATAAAAACTTACTGCATGTTCATATCTTACAGCACGGATATGAGAAACACGTTCTGTAATTTAACTTTATTATTTTTGTTTTAATGTATCTATCTTTCTAGAGTTACAAAAATTGTGTTAAAATACTGGTTATTAGTAACACTGCTCGAATATAACTTACTAAAATAGAAACTTTACTGCAGAGGAGGGAGATAACATCTGATGATAGCACGCCATAGGATCTAATAACTTCATAAGACTTACGAAAACAGTTATTTAAATATAGTCAATTTTTATATAGGAACTCCGCTCAATCACTTCTTTAAAAACATTACTTGAAGCAGAAAAAGACTTTTTAAAAGACGTCTGAAACGATTTTCTTTATGTTCTATGTTTTTGTATCTAGAAACTCACCTGTGTGCTGTATCGGCCGATCCAGAAGTGAACATCCCACTTCAGTGCATCAGTATCCGGATCTTTGTAGGTCTAAGTAAAGGGAAAGGAATAATTGGGATAAAGGGTACATACCATGACAGTACATCTCACCTACACCTCGTGATTTAATGAGTCTTTTTGACAAAAAAATGACGTAACTAATTAAGCACGAGAGCTTACATTTTTAGTGGGGGAAATATTTAGCAATAAAGTTGTAAAAATGGGTGAAGTTGCACACGTTTCCTTACAAAAGCACTCATTTTAGACTTTGTGCACTGGTAATGTGAGCCATGCAAGTAATTCAAGACATGATACTTAGTATCAATGTGGACTCTTCGACACGGAATTTGCTTGCGCTTTTGACAAAATTATCGTAATGATTTTCTAACGACCTGAGCTTTTATCCACATTTTTGTGACTTCATTTTCAAAAACATTTGGTAAACTGTTAACAATTCATAGTCACACATTCAAATGATGACAAAAATTAATATAAGTCGGTTAACGTACGTTCAGAATAATGTAAGAGTCGCCATTATAGAATGTGCCATATTCATCCTTGGGCCAGTGTTTGACCTTGAATTTCTGAAAGAAAAAATTAAAGATATTATGAGAGATGTGTTTGCGCATATCACTATACCTACTGGAAAACAATGAAACAGGCATGCTCACTGTGACTATCTTTACCTCAATCGGCGTGTGCCAATAAAAAGAAAGCTTCCTAATACGTAACCAACCATAAATGCCATTTGTAATTTCATCATTACTACAGCGTCGTTTTTTTTACTCCAAGCATACATTTAGTACTACATTAGCCACTGTATACAAATAACGCGGCATCATCTGCATATTATTTCAGTGAAGATTATGTTAGAAACACAAGTCTCTTTTGTATATGAATCTCATAAATTTCGCAGCCATCGAAAGGGAGGCTGTGTCGAGGAGATATTAAGACTACTCACCTCAATACGCCAAATCTGCAGACCAACCTCCAGCCCGGCCCCCTGCCATGCAGGCTCTGTCTCTGCCGACTCCTCTGAATTGAAGAAGAATATATACGTTAATTTATTTTATTCAAGTTTTCTTCTGAAACGTACTATTTTGTTTCTGTGTGTGGAATGCAGATATCCTGTCCAGGGTATCCAACGACACCCCTTAAAACCCAAAGACGAGAACTACAAAAACTAATATTTTTTCATTCAAATGTAAAAAAAAACAAACATTATCATCAGCATACTATTTTTCAAGACGTATGCATTACTGCAGCGCAATAATATTGGAATTCTCTGAGATCTACGAAATATGGCAAAGAGAAAAATAACTGCTACTGAATTTTCGTATCGAGTGGGGGTCGGGGTTGATATCACTGGGGCTTAATCTTCTGTCTAAAACAGTTGATGTCTGAGCACAATTTCTCTAAACACTCCGGTCTCATGTTCTCTCATCGTTATCGAGTTTCACAGTAGCGTCAATGAATAGTGCACGTCGTTCTAACCTGTTACGACACACACGTACATTATTTATCAAATAACAATAGGAAGGTCAAACAATCACATCTTAATCTCCACTGATAAAAGACTACCTAATGGAAAGGAAGCAATACCTGAATCATACATAGATCGATAACCGTGCCTTTCGCAAAACCTGTCGGGATGCTGGTTGATACTAACACAGCGCGTCCTTGGCAATTCAGTGAAGTTCAAGTGATGGGTATAAATAATAAAATGAATGTTTTGATTCATCCAGTTGTATTATAATAACATGATAAGAAAATTAAATATAATACTGAATCTTACGTTAAACCGAATATCAAGGCGTTTGGACTTGATCACAAGGCTTTCTTCGGGTGAACTAATTTTGTGTTGTCACCGGTGTCTCGTGGTGACAGTCTGCGTGGGGGTATAAAGCTGACGAGGGCATCAGTGCGACATCTGTCGACATACACCACTCGCGTTCTTTACTGTTACAGGTACAGTTACATACAGCAAGACAGGATCTGACAAATGGCCTGACAACTTATCCGTAGTAATAATGAGATCATCTATAATAGGCCTAATGAGAGGTCGAAGAAATATTAAGGAAAGTTCAGCGTATAAACATGTACCGTAACCACATGACATCAAATACTATGAAAACATCGTAGACCGCTTTTTGGGGTGTAATTATTTAAGTCGTTATGATGTGGAACACATATTTCACACTCATTTCCTCTAAACAGCGGAAGTTGCACACAGTGTATGTGGTAGAGGAAATGACGGGGGGAAACGCAGTGACTGGGAGACTTGCGTAGAGGGCTGGCTAGAAAATCGGCAACTAAACCTTAAATTATACATTCTCTGGTTACTTTGGAAATATTGGACATTTACTGTAAAATGTATTTAAATTCCACACATCACGAAAATTTGACTTTATGTGAGAATATTAAAATGTACTTTAGAAAGGAGAAAAGTAACGATACTCACTCTTCACATCCTTTTCAAGTTTGCTGCCAAAGAGGGCCAGGTTGGAATCCTTCCAGTCATACTTCTTTGCTTTGACTAAGCCTATAATATAAGAAAGAGTGGGGGAGTGCAAATAATGTAAAAAAAAAAAGACAATTACGGTAGCAGACTATACATGTAGGTCACACCATGTGTTTACATGAAACTTACTCTATGGCACATCAAAATGCACTCGTTAAAGTCTATTTATAGCGATATGTTTTTTCTGAATGTCACGCTATTGCGTTGTTCATAAGGTATCTAATGAAAAACTACAAACAGCTCACCTGCCATTGTCTGTTCACCTTGATATTACCTTGAAAACAAAGAAAGTGTAATTTAATCCTTGACGACTTGCAGCGAAAAATGAAAGAATAATACAAATATAATATGATATTGTAAAGGGCAACGATGACACACTTCCGAAGAAGATTTCAAATTCTTTGTTATGTACAGCAAAGTACTTAAAACAAGCCGTCAAAAATGATATAATTATATTTCAAAGGCACTTACAATATACATGCCCTTTATGCACCAGATCAAACACATTATTAATAAAGTTTTAAAAAAACTTTTTATATATCCACCATGTGGATGTAACTCAGTTTGCATTGGCATCCTGTTACGCATGTTTTTGGATAAATTTAATGCACGTGCACCCGTGAACCTCTTATGAGGGCCAGAACACAACGACAACAGAGTAAGATGGGCGACGACAAGTAGGGCAGGCATATTCTATTCTTCATAACGCACGATATGATTTCCTGATGTAGGCCCTACTGCTGCTTTATGCTTCACCTGGTGGCACTAGTTCTGGTGCAACCTTACAATATTAGACAACACTCTGCAATCGCGGATGATATGGTGTTCTGATTCACAGTGTGCGAGCGAGGGGGCTTAACAAAGAGGGTCATTATCTTTCATTATTGCTTTCCTTGCTACAATGGCGCAAGGGAAGCTAATATCACGGAGTTGCGACTCAAAGTGTCGGTATACAAATAAGTAAATGACATAAGCGCAACAACCGGCAATGACATACATTTCCTGTGAAAAGAAGTATGCAAAATGTAATGAGAACAAAAATTTCTCCGCATCCCTTCACCACCGCCCTACCCCTGCAAGACACAGTCATACGGTCACGTTAGTCACAAGATCCGTAGGCGTTACTCGCTGACAAGTCTTATCAGGTAAATCAATTACTTTCGCGATCAAGGCGTGTGGGCAACACTGATAAGGTGCGGGTACCTAAGTAACAAAAGTAACAAAAGAGTAAATAAACAGATATTTTATCATTTATTTAATCTGCCTACAATGACAAATCGGTGCATAATGCAAATAGTTCAGTGGCAAATTAAACGTTATCATCCAGACAAAAGATCGCTAAAATGAGAATTGTGACCACTACAGCACACCCGTTATCATTTTGGATGATATGGTTTCCGTACAAAAATACACATCTAGCTAAATTATCATATCGTTATAGTCGCCCACTTTAGGTTATCGGTCTTGACCACATTCCTAAAAAGGTGACCACTCCTCTGCTAAATGACTGCATACACTGTAGATAGAGGCCCCGACGGAATGCACAGTTCTAATTAGTAGGGCAAAGGTTCTGGCCGCACAAGCTAAACTACAATACTCATGTCAATCAGACAATGACATTCGGTTTTTCCCCTAGAGAAATATACAATTGCCGAATGCTCCATTCCTTTAGAATTAAAAATCACAGTGTCATTTTAAACTCCGGACATACCGTGCGTTGGTATGGTCACATACCAAGAAGTCAGTGGTTCATGATGCAGAAACAAACCAACACTGATTTACGATGAAAATATTGTGTTACGCAACGTGGAATTCTGGGCGTCTGTCTGCACGCACAGGAAAAATAGTCTGCAGTGAAAATATGACAGACGACAATGACAAAAACAACACGTCACGATATCACAGCACAGGTACGCTGTATCCGATATTTTATGCACGCAGGGGAAGGAAATCCATTATATTTCGTCTGGGGATAAATGCAATTGTGTACTTAAACCAAAAGCTCTTAAAAAGGATGATTAATTAAATTCAGCAGGGGACCAAGTAATGAAATGAATAAACAATTTATTATCTTTTGCCAAGTGCAGACAAAGGCATTAATTATGATAATGCAAATCCCAAACTGTCACCACGAGTGTCTTCTCCTTTGAATCTATATCTGCTTTATATCGATACTGTAATACATAGTAGATATAATCTTATTTTCAACAGGTCACCAACATGTCAATAAAATTTATGTTATCAGTGGTGACTCACAAAGAGACAGAATAGGTTTATAGTAGGCTACATGTAGAACGCAGCAATTTGCCCTGTGAAAACATACAGTCGTCATACGTCAATATCAACCATGTCAACCTTGATATCACTAGCAATGAGTAACATTCGGTGCAGAATGCAATACTAAATATACGCCACTTTTAATTCTACATGTACTTCCGCGTTTACTCCCTATAATTGAGAAATACGGGTAAAGGCCATGCAGTGTGTCTGACCATCGAACACTCAGTGCAAATTAAATTACAAACACAATTATACACTTTGGCATGTTAGGTGAAGCACAGTAATGCTGATATTAATAAGGTTCACTGTTAGAGCTATTCTGTTACCTGTGTTTACTCGCTCACCTTCGGGACCGTGAAATGGGATGCAGCCGCTTCGGATCTGACTGGATGAAATGTGGGCTGGGTCGTGAAAGCTAAGTAGGTCAAGTGACGTCAGGTAAATAGAGAAGTTTGACTCATCAAGTAATATTGCGCTAGGTGGCTTTGATCCATATCGCGGTCGGTCCACATCTAATGCAATGCTTAATGTGTTGCTTAAGTTGTACTTATTTGAAAAAGGCAAAAAGTAGAGTGCGATCAGAAAGAAACATGGAGGTATGTAAGCTATCAGTGTAGTTGCATTTAAGTTACTTCACTCGTAAAATGACATCTGCGAACTCTAGTCCTATGTTTTATGAAGTGATTAGTGTACGTTTGCGCGGCAGAATTGTTTTGGTTAGTTTACAGTCTCCTTAACAAATCAAGTTACCGTTAAAAAGCCAGTCGTTTAGCAACCATCTACAGGTGTACAGTGTATGTGCTCTTTGGCTAGGTTTAGAAACGGTGAGTGACTTTAACTCGAGATCTTGACGTTAATCAGTAGGCCTACCTCTCTTTGCATTATTTTCACTTCTATTTACAGCCGGTTCTAAAAATTAGGATCCGTAACTTAAATCCGCACATTGTGTGTTCACTGTGTGCAGGTTACTTCATGGATGCTACGACCATAAGAGAATGCTTACACACTTGTAAGTCTTGAATGAGTGAATTTTGAAATCAGAACTGCTTTGTTTTTCTTCGTGTGACTTAGTTTTATTTCTGTAGCAGTGTAGTGCACATTAATAGTTGTATTCTGTTTATAAATTTTCTCGGTTACAGTAAAGATAGACCCTGAAATAATCGGATCCCAAATAAACAATGAAGAATTTTTTAAAACATTGTATGTAGATAATACAACCCTGATACTAGAAAATAATGAAATTACCATGATCAGGGGCCTCTACCTAATCACTTTTAGATTCTCAGAGTGCTTGGGTCTGAGAGCCAGTTTTGAGAAAATGGAAATTATAAATATAGATTATATAATGTATAAAATATATAAAATATGGATTGATGAAATTAAGTGATTATGAATTAACATAATATCTACTTATACTGAGAACAAAGAACAAGTGTGTGTGTGTGTGTGTGTGTGTACATAAGCATGATCAATAACCTAAATACATCACTGGCTCATTGGTGTGATTCACTGGTCTAAAACTTGTATATTGTATTTTATATACATTGGTGACAGAGTTATTCTCAAAATCTATTGGCATTGGTGTCATATGTTCTATTGAATGCTTGTCAGTGCAATTAATATAAAAACTAATAAAATTATTCTCTTCAACTTACTAAAGTGATTCACTAATGTTGGGGTCAGCTTAGAATATTGTCTCAGGAACTTGCATACAGAATTTTAACAAATCCTACTCCTTAGCATTTGTTTTATTCAATTTTCATAAATTTGTTGGATATTGTCAATACTTCACCTGATGCTTCCTATTATTTTAACAGTACTGTTTTTTATCTTTTGGAAGATGGTCAGAATTTGATCGAAAACCTTTCTCTGCTACGTGTGATATTTGTCTAGTCCACCACATGTAGCAGAAAAAGGTTTCCACTTATAAGAATTTCATTCAGTAAAATTCAGACCATCTTCCAAAAGACAAAGATGACTATGTAAATCCACCTCTGAAATATATTTTGTTATGATGAAGAATGTTACGTGCCTTTTTGTTTTCAGTTTGCAAGAGCTGTATTGTGAAATATCTTCAGTCCAGTAAAAACTGCCCTCAGTGTGGCATCAAAATTCATGAAACACAGCCCCTTTCAGGTCTCAAAGCAGATAATGTGATGCAAGACATAGTCTACAAATTGGTGACTAATTTATTTGAAAGTAAGTAAATAATGTATCTCTTTCCAGTGATATTGAATCGTCTCAAATTTGCATGTTTGTCACTAAATATTTTATTGAGTTTGTAATTAATTTTTTCATCATCATACATGACAAGATAAGATAAATTAATGGTTGAAATGCACATTGACATGGTCACATGTTAATTGAACTTAAAATACTGGTGTTTGATATGCGTTGACTTAGAATTTAGAAATGAAAAGTTCTTGATCTGGGAATCGGGCTGTAAATATAATGTTTTGCTTTTTATTTCAGATGAAGAAAAAAGGAAAGAAGAATTCTGTAAGTCTAGAGGAATAAACGTTGCCAAAGAGCTGAATGAAGGTGTGTTCTTCTCAAATAGTTAATCTGTATTTCAAGCAACCATTAAGATAAGTTAAAAAGAAAATTGATTTTGAAAATATATAACATCACATTTTTTAGAAATTAATTTTAATGACTTAAAAGTCCCCATTGTAAGAATTTCCCACAAAAAACACATATTCAACTAATATTCTTGGGATAATCATTATTTTTCTCCAACTAACCAACCTTTAAACCTCTTTTCCTGCCACTGGCAATAACTCTTTAAGTCCTTTACCCGTGCTTCAAGAAGGATTTTTCAAATTCCACCATTCCCATGTTTTTCACAATCCAAAACTGACAAGTTTGTAAACAGGTTCTACAGGAAGTGATAAATTAGATTATTTTGGTGACATCAGTTCATAGTATTTTAATTCTTAAAAGATGTTAAAATAACATCAAAATGTATTACTTGCACAGACTCAGATGAGTTAAACAAAAATATGTTTTTATGTCTTTAATGTGTGTTAAAATTGCTATAATTTGTGCATTTAAGGTAAAAAAATATAAGATCCATATGTGCATTGAATATATATCAGATGGGGAAAAATATTCAATCAAACTTTTTTTAATTTCAGCTGATCAAAATGTTCCATTAACCAGTGTTTATGATAGCCCAACTGGCCACCACTATAGTAACGATGAACTGGTGTCATTGTGCCTTGAGAGAGACAGGTAGGAGTGTAAGCTTTTTTTGATATAACTCATGTTTACTTTTTTCATGTACAAGATGTTGGAATGTAGGTTTTAGAAGAGCATATGTTTTGGCAATAGAAAAAACCCATTGGAATGGTGTACAAGGAAAGGAATAATGATAAACGGATTGCTTTTCAGTAATGTTTGAAGGATGCATTTAACATCTCAGGAATTGTAAAGTGTCATATAATTCAGGATGCTTTCTATATACTGAAATACTTTCTTCAAGTTTACTGCTTCCACTGCAAAACATAAATGGGCAACCAGTTCACATCCCACCCTTGGACAGAAAGTTCATCAGATGTTCCACACGTACCAGGATAGCACATGTTAAGAAACTCCTTAGGAAAAAGCTGGTGTTGTCTCAGTCTCTCAAGGTAAAAAAAGATTTATAAGGGTATTGTTTGAAAGTTTTCATCAGAAACACACCATCTTAACTTCAATTCAGATTTACACTTTTCAAGAAAAAAAATTAATGTAATAATCTGTTCTGAGATGAATTCTATTACAAACAGGTTTTTGAAGATGTTATGATATAAATAAAATAATAAGTAAGTGCTGCTGTGATGTTTATATACAGACGCTTGTATATTTTTTATCAGGTTGTCTCTCCATTTCATAGCCCTAGTCTAGTCTACAAACACAAGCTGCCTCACACATCTATTATTTACCCTTTAACTACTATTATATCATATTGTTTGTTCTACTATAATTTTTTCTGAATGTCTTTGTTTGGTTTAAAAAGGCAGATTACTTTCGGAAGTCAGACTTGGCTGTCCAGCATAAATAATAGAGAATGTTTGTGGACTGTTTACTTAATCTGTAAAACTGGAATCTAAAGTGACTTATTAGATAAAGTACTTTAGCACATTTTCATTCCTTACAGCAAGTTATTTTTCATAAACAGCTAGATGTTACATTTCAGCTTACCATATCATGTAGTGAGGCCAGTGGTTTAGATGACAATTGGAATCTTAAACAGATTTGGCTGCAGCATTGGTTAGACAAGGTATGGAAGGTATTTTGCTGAATCCACATTATGCTGTAAATTTTACCAAAAAATGAAAGATAATCAAAGGATTGCTTTGCCTTTTTATTACATAGGACATATTAAAATTTGTCTCAAGATATTTGGATGATTATGAACCTTGCCTTAATCCTTAAAATGAAGTAATAGGCAATGGTTCTCGTTCCTGTTTGGTTCACGTATATTTGAATCATAATTATTAAAAGATTTCTAGGATGCTTATTTTATGGTTGAAATTTACATACATCTTTCCTGAGCTTGAATTACTTGAATGTTTGCTCAAATTGAAAATATGCTGGTTAAGTTGACTTAATTTTGTTTTTATTTGTGTTTCAGGACCCACCCTTAATATTGTATTATGCCATCTCTAGTTCTTGACACCCGTCAGTCAGATGAGAATCAGAAACCCGGTTAACTTATCAGTCAGGGCCCCGTAACTCAAAAGCATTTGCATTGCGACCAAGCACAAGCATCTCAATTCCATAACTCGCCCATACTCACCCCATATAATACATTGTAGCCTCTATGTGATATCGCTATTCGCAATACCTGATGCTTTCAAGTTATGGAGCCCTGGTCTACAAGCACAAGGAAGCTTTATATAATAAAAGGAAAGTGCTGTTAAGTCCAAATTCATGTTGAAAACATTCCAGCCATTGATAACTTCTAAATGTTCTCACTGTGAGGATATTAGCACTGGTTACAGGCTTTAGAAATGAAGTCCAGAATGTGCAATCTTAGTGCCATTATTAAAGTTCATGAAAAAAGGTCAGACTATCAAAATGATGACGTGCTTTCATCAATGGTTCCACCTCAGTTGAACAATTGCTTTACAAGACTTGCAAGTTGATATTTCAGTTTTCAGCTCACATAACATGTAAGGTGACTCCCAGACATGCACACTAATAAAAAATAACATCTATCCTCAAAGGGCTTTTTATATTGTTTATTATAAATGTAATTTTTTCTCACCATTGTCACACCAGGTTTGCATTCTGAAATTAATCTCTGACATTCTGAATCTTTTGACATGCTAAGCCATGATATAATGCTTAATGCTAGCAGTCGTAATACCCCCTGTTTCTATGATTTTGGTCACCATAAAGATAATTGGGCTAAAACTATGTTGTTTTGTGCAATCAATTTGTAATGCCCGGTGGTCCCCCATTTCGCACCCCTACTCATGTATAACAGTGCTTAACGGTGACGGTGACGTACAGGTACCACACGTTTGCTCACGAATCTTCAGAGGGCCTTCCAACTTCTAAATTAGATTGTACTCACGCTGTTTTTACGCAAATAACCCCCCGTTTTACAAGGATTAAAAATTCTGCCAAAACATGTTCCCTGCGACACAAAGATGTCCTTGAATAGCATAACATGCATGACGTTAATAAGAAGATGGGCTATATCGGCCGATATGCCAGCAACTTTAAAATATGCTTGAAAAAATAAGATATCCAATATAATGCAGAACAGATGTACGTTCTATTTGATTCTTATGATGTAAATACAGTCACTCAGTGTCCAATGTCTTAAACAGATTTGGCTGCAGCATTGGTTAGACACAAAGATGTCCTTGAATAGCATAACATGCATGACGTTAATAAGCAGATGGGCTATATCGGCCGATATGCCAGCAACTTGAAAACATGCTTTAAAAAACAATATCTCCAATATTATGCAGAACAGATTTACCATCTATTTGACTCTTATGATGTAAATGCAGTCATTCAGTGTCCAGTGTCTTTAAGTGTGTTCTAGGAATAAAAGAGATCTTGACTGGCCTGTCTGGAGTCATGACTAGGTTTAGCACTGGTTCCACTGGCTCATGGTGGTACTCCAACTTGAAATTCTTTAAAATCTGAAATACAAAGAAGAATGCAATAAAAAGATATATACATGAACGAACTGTAATGTAAACATGGCATCATATAAATTTTGAACATTTCTGTTTTTTAAAAGAGGAAACATGCCTGTGCAAAAATTGTCTTCGTTATTTTATAGAATTCTTTGTTTTTTATGAACGGTTTAAGAAAGATATTTTGACATTATCGTACTTTAACGAGGGCAATATAAATCTCTTGTTCAGCAATACGCCTGCCAATACACATCCGGGCGCCGTGTCCGAATCTCATATTGGAGAATATTTTCATACCCATGCTGGCATGGGCGCCATCACGGAGCCATCTCTCAGGATTGAATTTTTCGGGGTCTTCAAATAACTTTGCATCATGGCCCATGCCATATAGATTAGCCTGGACGTGTTTCTGCGTCAGAAAAATGTTAGTTTATTCATCGAGTTAACGATGTTCTTTAACAAGTAAGAATTATGCTTTAAAGTTATGTTGAGGAAATATGACTTTTAATATTCTCAATTTTTTTCATTTGTCATTACATCGAGAAAAAAAAGACATTTTATCAAGTGTGCATCTTTTCACACTTCGACCAACCTCCATTTCGCTTAAAAACAAATTTAAAACAGAAACTAATGTTTTAAAATGCTCACCCCTTTAGGTATGTGGTAACCACAGACTTCAATATCCTCTTGTAAGATTCTGCTTGTTGTAAATGTAATAGGATACAACCTAAAACAGACAAGTTTTTATTACAAATATTATCCACGTTTTTTATATTGGATGATAAAATGTAGTGCATAAAATGTAATGGGACACTTGGAATAACAAGGTGGTCGCATGCTTTGTATTTGAACAGAACTTCATTAGGCAATGCGTCATTGGTGACTCTGTCATTTTCAATACTGAGGGAAGGCCGAGTAGGAGTCCTGCGACATGCAACACTATGACCTGTACATCTTTTGTGTGTTCTCAAAAGCGGTGATGGAAGTTTCTGGATGTTACCCCTAGGTATGTGGAGGGGCAAGAAACACACGGGGTTTGACACACCACACTTCTACACTCCTATCGTGTGTTCAACATTATATTTTCTGGTTGTTTTGAAATAATACATATACGTACCTGAACATTTCTTTGAGGCACGCTTTCAGGTACGGTAAATGCTGCAGTTTATCAGCAGTTATCTCTGTCGATGTTGGAAAAACTTTGCATAACTCTTGATACAGGTTGTCTTGAATATTCGGGTTGATTGCGAGGCAATAGAGTGTCCAAATAGTCGCCGTGGAAGTAGTTTCTACGGCGCCCATCATAAGATCGATAACATGAGAATTTGCCTCCTGAGGTGTTAGGTATTTCGAGCTAAGTAGGTAAGAAAGGAACGAAAGTTTTTCTCCTTCCTCTTCATTTTTGATAAAGGAGCTGGTTTCGTTCAAAGACTGAACTTTCTGAAATACGATTATATATTTTTTGATAAGATTAAATTAAAAAATAAAGATTAATTTTAAATGCTGTGGTTTGAGTAATTTCCACTTGAAACAATTAATTATTATTATATTATTTTTTATTATGAGGACAAACCTTTTCAGAAGGCTTGATTGTATCTCACCTTGTCAACGAATTTTTGACCAATTGCCGTCACCTTGTCTGTATGGAACTCAAACTGCTTGTACGTCTTTGTGGGATATATCGTATATATAGGTAAGCCAAACACCAGGGTTTGCATATACTTGAAGAAACACAGGAGATGATCAATAAAGTCTTTGGCATCAGCCAGAGGGACGTCTTCGAAACAGCCTATTCTGTTCTCAAACAAAACCGTTCCAATCGCTGTCATGGAAATAGAATTATTGCTGATGACATTTGATAAATGAAGTATTTACTAAAAACCTATGAAATGATCTTCCACTCTACCAACAGTTAACCATTTCCCCATTTTTCAAAAATTTAATTTATTCAATATGTTACATGAATCAAAGACACATATGAAGCTAGCGTAAATGTAACGTGTATAATATATTAGTACCAGTTTTTATTACGCAACACAAATAGAACCCAAGTGAAATAAAACGCAAAATTAATATTGTAACATGTCTGGCAGTAGAAAAGGACTTTAAAACTGCACCTTCTTCAAATTTCTGGTCTTCAATTAAACTTCGTGTACTTGTTTCACTACAGTCAGTAAAGCACAGAAATTAAGCATAAACGGCCATTAGCCGTGAAGCACGCATTTTAATTAAAATTAGAATTTAGATACTATGATCGCAGGTAGAATAAAACATTGTACAAATTGCAGAAAAGCGTAGATAAAACTTACATTCCAATGCCCATTTGAACATTTCATGCTCCATATTTTCCACCTCTCCATTCTCATGATTTCTAATCTGCTGTAGTCTTTGGACAAAATCATCAGTGACCGTGTTCATACTCGGGATATACTGTTGAACTTCTTTGGGAACTAGTAATTTTTTGCCGATGACTGAGCGTTGTCGATGCCATTCTTCTCCTTGCCTAGTGACAAATTCCAGCCTTGTAATTTCACAGTTTCTTTTAATTATTTTGTTGAAAATGCTACTATTTGATATGATTTCGCCACGTCAAATACACAGACTAACCATGATACTGTAAAGACGTTTCATTTATATAAGGGTTTTAGTCCAGATTAGCCGCGTGAGCTTCACCATCAATAAGTAGAAATCAATCTGATACCATCGCAATATTCTGACTCTTAATTACAACATAAATTTCATAGATGCATCATTCTCAAAGAAACGTACTTACGAATTAACAAGCCCAAGTCCCATTCCTTTTTGCTTCCTGTAGTGCATTATAGGCAAAAGCTCCGTTCTCTGGGGGTATTTGCCATCTGCTCGGACAACTTTGCTGTACTCGATCGGGTCGCTAATGACGATGCTCTCTACGGTGGCCAATTTTTCTCTATATATGGGTCCGTATTCTTGAGAGCGTGTTTGCTGCACCTTATGATATATGACAATAATGGTGCCGGTGTTTTACTACATATGGAATCATGTTCAAAGCTGTATTTGAATTGGAATAATGATAAAATACTCTGACAGTGTTTTATTTACTAACACAGGGGTGTTTCTAGAATTTTATAAACGAGAGAATATTCTCCCTATCCTAAAAAAGAACTATCAGGCTTTCAATGAGAAGGTGAAGGTGATCGCCCTTCGGGAAAAATGTATTTTTTTATGTAAGAATTCTGCAGGTATGCAATGTTCAGTATTTATTTGCATTACACAACTATATTAAACACAGACTACAAGGATTTAAAAAAAAAACTAAGAACAGAAAGAAGGAAAAAAGGAAAAAGGGGATTTTAAGTAATAAATGCAACATCGTATGGCAACGTATTGGAGACAAATATTAACTACTAGTAATTTTGACAGCGTTGAAAAACGGTATTTCATGTAACGCTCCAGACACTGAGAGATATCTTCCACCGTGCTGTCAGGTCAGAACTTCATATTTTATCCATGCATAATAAACCAATGCAAGCCTACCTTGAATAATCTATTAAGCCCAAATCCATCTTTTTTTATATAATCGAACAGGGTACCCACTATAGGCAAGCCCTTAGGGCCAGGGATCTCGTGGAAGGGTCTATATTTGACTCGTTCGGAAGTCATATAGGAGTTTTCAGTGGAAGTGTTGGCTCCCGCTGAAGGCTGACTTTTGTCAAAGGGACACTGAAATAAAGGGAAATTGTCTATTCAGACCTGTTTATGAAAGAATTTGGTTGCACAATGTATACCCAGATTATATAACGGTTAAATTTAAAGTATCAAATACTTGAGTTAAATGAAACCAATTAAAACAGTTGATTTATTCCTAAGTGGTATAACTTTTTATTGAGAAATTATTAATCCACGTACAGCACTCACTTACTTTGCTAACTAGATCTTGGTGAGATGCATTAAGGTTAGTTGAAGAAGCGTTCTTCACAGTCTTGTCAAAAGCACCTTTCCTTTTCTTGGAGTAAAGCCATTTTGGCAAATTCCTTGCTAACTGAAATCTTCTAACGGTCGCCATTCCTTTTTGGTGATTGTTCGACTTCTGAATTATTCTTAAATATACAATAGCTACCATTTAGGGCGTGCTACGTTTTTCCACCTTTAATAAACAGTATTATTAATTTTTCTCTACTGAATTGGGGCAATTAAAAATGGTGCTACACCCGCTTTATAGCAAAAAAGTTGAGTATTGCACATACAGTGTAGGTGGATGCGGTTTGTAAATTTTGAAACTGTGCGACAAATGAGAGCAGAATGTGAGGTTAAATGTACGCATTCCACAGTTTTCAAAATTAATAACTTAATATTAACTTTCAGTGAACCGTTGCTTTGACTAAAATGTTTTTATCTATGACTTATTACGTCATTCTCCAAACTGTACATCTTGCTAGACATGTACTTACTCGATTTTGTCGCCTGTAATTGAAAGCCTTCAATATAGCCAGGGTGACCAAACTTACGATGAGCAAGAGTCCGTTACTTTTGACACGTTGAAACATCTATTTAACCGTGGACTGGTCTCATTCCTTTTATGGAAGGGAAATCTGTTATAATTGGATACATTATCGTACAAACTGAGTGGGAAGCCTGCTATCTACGTCATCTTAAGGCCAGTAGGTGGCTCTCCTGCAGAGATTTGGTCTGGATATGGATAAGGCGATTAGTCCATTTAAATGTGACAATTCTACCCAATTTTGCCGGGCCATTGAGACATTTTTTGATGTTGCTGACAGCCAAGATATACCTTATCTTCCCAGAAAATGCGTAAATTGTGGAAAGATTAGCTAAATTAAAATTAGCTAAATTAAAATGTAACTTATAGATGAGATGAAGTGTGCTTAGTTAAGGTTTCTAAAGGCAGCAACGATATGTTGCCATGGAGGTGGCGAAGCAGTATCCTACTCCTTTTTAAAGCAATTGGTTTAACTAGACAGTGAAGATGGCAAATGCACAAACACTAAACAGATAAGAAACACAACCTGTCACCCAAACAACAGCTGTGGCCTGCTTAAAAGAAGTAAATGTCTTACATTGTTTACAATTTCTTTGTTTTTTTAAACACATCAAAACCCATAACTGTATCATTACATATCTCATGTTTCAAGTTCGAATCAACTTAACAGTTCATGTAACACATAAACCTATATCAGTAAACCAAGAGCAAACTAACTACGGAAATTAAACAGGTACACAAGAGACAAGAGAGAGAGAGAGAGAGAGCCCAAGCGAACGACAAAATACATGCAAAAAATCCAATAAGAAAATACTCTAATCACGCTTATTTTCGAACTTAACCTGTCTTTTTGTTAACAAAAGTTTTAAATAATTATGGTGTGAGCAAATTTGCCGGATGGCGACAGCTATAGCAACTGCGACAGCATGGACCGACAGAGATTATCAGAATATATACTTACGTAAAGACTGACGGTGTTTCGCTTCTGATGCTCTAAATGCTTTAAATTACACTCACGACGAGGGTACCCTCTGCCAGGACGACAGATTGACTTTACACAAGATATTCACAGATATGTCTTTAGATAAATGGACGGTCATTTGGTTCTCTGGCTTTTGGAAATTTTGCCTATACTGTCTCCACATGGTAGAGGGAACATCGAGGGATTTTTTTGTCAAAATTACGCGACAACAAGATTAATTTTGCGAAGCAAGAAAATCCTTTTAAGACATGCATCCTAATAATACATGTGGATGATGCACCGGTTGTTTATCAAGGAAGAAATCAGTAATACACTTCTCGATGTCGACATTGGCTCACGTTATTAACGCCAATAAAATGAATGCAAAAAACTGACGATATTACGGGTTGTTTTGAACTGACTTTTTTCTTCGTTTTTGCATTCACTCGGAAACCCGAATTCCTTTTTAAGCCTGAAGTATTTGTGAATCTAACATTCAAATACTCCAGGTTGTATTGTTACTGTTACAATCACAAAAACCAACAATTGATCGTTTTGCTGTGGTCACTAAATCATTTTCATGTTTGTTTATTGAAAAATAAGCAACAGCGCCGTTTAAATTAAAAACATTGCCAGTATGGTTATGTTATTTATTCGTGGCACTAAATGATAATTGGCACAAAGTTTGAGTTCCTTAAAAATACATATATATTTGTTATTTGTTTACCATGACTTTAAATTATTTTAATTCAGGAATGGTTCATATACATACAATTCTTCAGCGTCGATGTCATTTGCTCCAGTGCCTCGCCGGCAATTTTAAAACTAATTTTTTATAATAATTTGGTTTCTGTCAACGTCTCTTTATTCCTAGAGTGGTCGGGATCTATGTGGCAAAACACTGTGTCACTCATAACCTTGTCCTAATCCTTGTATCTTTAAATAGGCTGAATCAACACACAAACACACATTACACTGACGATATGTTTTGTTATTTGCATCATTCAGTATTTACACACATGTAATTGCATATATTGAAGTGGATTTTATGCTGATATTTTACTGCAAGAAACGTACGTCTTCACGATACATGTACACATGTATGCACCATACAGTCCAGAAAAAATATACAAGTTTAATTGGTACATTAATTGATTTATGAAGAAATATATGGTAATAAGTACCTAAGTTTATATTAAAGGAATCCGGCGACACAAATTGCACAAAATGAGTAAAATATAAAAACTGGCATCAATGTTCAGTCGCAGTGAAACTCCATTGAGCCGCTACCAAGCATTATGTTACTTAGCATTGTGTGATGTCTGCTATTGGTTGAAAGGAAAACAGCTCTGTAATAAAGCGGTTTTTAGTGGCATTCTGTCGTCATAGAGTGTGGGAGCCTGCAGGATTATACCGAGAGTTCCAACCAAGCATGCTGTAGTGAAAATCCACAGAAAAAGCCGATCCAACACCATGGCTACATACCTCCAATCTTCTTTTACCTGAAATTATCGTAAAGACGTATGATTATAGTAACGCATTTCAAACCGAGCGACGTTGACGTAAATGCACTATTTAAAGCCATTTACTAAGCAGATGTAATAATATGTGGCTTGCTGGGTTTTAATATCACCGAATAAGACGCTAATTGATGGCTTAATGCTTCTCCTAATGGTGACGTCCGGATGAGTACAGTCCTGGCTGTAATGATTTCATTTCTAATATTGATCTCACCTATCGCAATTAAACTTACCTCTGACAAAAAGTTATCACCTTTCAAATTTATAAATCATTCACAAAATTAATAACTCTGTGCACAAACAATTTTGTTTTTGCGAATAAAAACATACATTTTATTATTTTGTAATGCTATAGGCTGAGAAGAGACCTACTCTAAACTTAATAAAAAGAAGATATAAACAATTAATCCCCTTCCTATAGAAAAGCATAGGTTCAAGTAAAAAATTCATTTAAACAAGCGTAAGATAGCGGTTAAAAATACCAACCAAAAAGAACCGTAAAGCTGAAAGAAACTTGCGGGGAAAAGAAAACAAGCAAGCGCCATTCTTCATCCAGCTCCAGCCTTTGGGTGACTCACCATGTCTTCAACATCTTCGTTCTTTAGGTGGTCGGAGATAAATGTTACACCTTCCAACGCTTTCTGGATGTGGACTGGATATTTTCGTTTCCTCAGTCCGGGGTTCCTTTCCTCCTGCCCAAGGAGCAAGATTTCTTCGTGACCCATATGATTTGCATCGCAATTTTGTCGACTGTTTCCGAAAGCGTCTCGCATCTCCATTCCATTGCAAGCCCGCACCATCACCTTTGGCGTCTTTTCCCCTTCCGGCGTGGGTCGCCGCATCATCAGCAGTCTCGGTAGAATCTGGAGGAAAACCTTCTTAACCCAAGGTGACATCACGTGGGTAGATGGACTTCGGAAGTGGACATTCAGCACCACGACCGTCACGATAATTGACACAGATACCAGTATCATGGTGAAGAGCAGGTACTTCCCGATGAGGGGAACCACAATTGAAGTCGGCGGAATCAGGTCGGCCAATAGCAAGAAAAACACAGTGAGTGAAAGCAGAATGGAGATACACAAAGTAATCTTCTCGCCGCTGTCTGATGGGAGGTAGAACGTCAAAACAGTAAGGAAAGAAATAGCCACACAGGGGATTATCAGATTAACAGTGTAGAAAAGAGTTTTTCTACGCAAGGTTACGTTAAAAATAATAAAAGGATAAGGCTCAGGACAGCAAGTATAGTATTTGGCTTTGCGTCTGGCAGGAACACTTAGTAAGTCCCACTCGACACTGCGTGAGTAGTCCTTTAGGTCAATGCCATAGCCGATTTCATAGTCATCATTGTAATCATCTGGCTGGCATATGTGCTTTAAATCCACTTGGAAACCATCGTAAGTCCATGACCCAAATTGCATAATACAAGTTTGTTCATCAAAAGGGAAGAATTCCACGTTGATGGGACAGGCACTCTTGTAAATAGCGGGCGGCTCCCATTGCACCTTTCCTGTCGGATGAACGGTTGCTTTCGTCATTAGGGTGACCTCATAATTGCCATCTGCGCTGAAATTCGCAATGAACAACTGGGCTGATTACTGGTCTATTAACGGGGCGACCACTATCACTCTGTAGTCAATGCCTTGAAGTTTCGGGATTTGGGTAACATGACAACGGGTCACATGTAACAAATTTAAAACTATATAACTACATGTTTGTACACTAACATAGGGTTATACATCTATATATCATAGCTATGCGTTATGCCCAATAGGCATCAACATACAAAGAGGATTGTGCGTTAGAATGACAAAGGAATATAAACTGTAAAGTAGAGAGTTTTGCTTCCAAACTATCTGGATAAACTTAACTCAATTATTCCAATCCTCTTTATGTGTTCAAAACACTGTAAGATTTTCTCTTTCCAGTGCACTGCAAACAAAACATGTATGCTACGAACAAGGTAAAATAAAAGGGGAAAAATGGCAACGAAGATAAAATTAAATGATGGGATCGTTTTTAATGACATAAATCATGCAACGTATCGGGGGTATGAAGACTGAAAAGTTTTGATTGATATCAGAGTTAATATATTCGAAAATTAGTATGTTTTACGACATGCATGGTCCATTAAAGCTGGTGCTAATGCTATACATTCAAAATGAAATAGAAATTTAGTTTTTTAGTGTTGCACCAGCTAGCTGAACTGAGAGATTACGTCATGTATCTCCATTCTGTTTCCTCTCCTTATAAGAAGATATTGATATTGCTGTCTTATGTGGCTGCATTCCAAGGGACCCGAGAAGACAAAATGCAGCAAAAAAATATTCAGGATGCTTTTGTACTTCTGAAAAATCTAAGAGTCTGAAATCAGAACTGAAAGCTGCCGTTAATTAGTGTCTATTTTAATGTAAAAATAAATTGTCTTGAGAAGATTTCATGACTAAGTACTAATTTCATGAAATGTATCTGGCATCATTAGTATATTTTCATATGTGATTTTGTAATGCAAAAATGATATTGCCACTGAGGATGATTTCAAAGGTCGAGCAACAGCTTTATCTATTGTATTATCAATCCTACCGGGGTATGACATATAGAAAATAATCGGCTGATTTTTGTTTCCTGACAAAAGCTAAATCTAGTTGAAGAGGGGAATGTCAGTAGATTAGACAAATACTTATCGAAAGCTAAAACTTCTGAAATGGCGAGCGATTATTAATGAAGCGACCTTTTAAAATATACCAGTGAAAGTACTACATCATAGTCGTCGTGCGTCTTAGTTGAGCTGAGCAACGTCACTTACTTATTATACAACACTACATCCGGAAGCCAGATTCTGTCTGCAGGGACGTACAGTATATTCACCCCACCATAATCTTTAGGGTTCCACCGCAGTTTGTAGTCGTCCCATTCCTATGTGTTTAAAGAAACCAATTAATTTGTAAGCATTCACATGAAATGCACACTTGTAAATTAAATTTTTGACACATTATCTTATTCTTATCACGACTAAAGCTAAATGTGTACTATGTGTACATATTACTGGTCGTATGTAACAGCTATATATATATATATATATAACGGTTGAAAATTGCAGCTACAATTTATAGTGCTAAACGTAGAGATGCAGAGGGCCTATTCGCTTTTACTCTGATGACATTCAATAGTGTGTTTAACTTTTTCTTTGTACAATTTAAAAAAGTTTAAGCACAAGAGTGGGAGTCTTGAAAAGTGCAAGAATCTACCCTAACACAGTCCGTGGGCATGGGTTCAGGTTTCACATAGCTATGGGGAAAACTAATTATTTTTGCAAATCGAAACTTAACTCCTTGCTATTTTTCTTAGGACATTTTCCAGCCCGTACTTATTGATTTTCGTAATTAAATGATGATAAAATCCATAACAATCATGAATAAGTTGACGAAAACTCACACTTCAGCATCAAGAGCAAGGGTGTAAGTGTGTAAAAAACATTTGTAAATGTATATTCAAAAAACATATATAATTTATATTGCCCTTTGTATGGCACTGGCAACAACGTCTGAAGCATCTGTTTGATCAGCTGGCAAGGTTGCAACAAGGCCTTATGTATACCAGCACAGAGGTTTAGTGCAACACTTCAAAATGGATTTTATTATAAACAGCAGATATCAAAGGTTTGAGGGCTTTCCGCGAATATGTTATCTATACTTTCATAACACAATGTGATTTAAAACGTAGTTTAAGAACATTCTTTTCGGTAGTTTAAGATTTAAAGTAAAAACAAAATCACTTTGTGAGCGCTAGGTTACACGGCCGCAGTAGTCTGAATTTACCGAAACATTTCCTTATATACATTAGTGAATATATCCAGTACACTTAATTTCAAACTAAGTAATTTTTTCAGAGCATGATTGACCAAAAAATTGCATTCTGCAATATATCATCACTTTCATTTTCGACAGGAATAGATTCTGAGAACTTGGAACATGCCAAATGCGCAAATCTCTCCAACAGGAAGAAGTCCGTCGACGTACATTATGTGGCTTGACCAGTGGAAATCCACAGCGAATTGCATTAGTTGTTGAAGTGGTCACCTTGAAGACCTACTTACATGCATCAGCCACACGTTGGTAGTCATGATCTGGTTCTTCTCATCCTTAAGAATGAAGAAATCGGTGAGAAATAGGTTGTTGTTCAATTAATATACATGGCATATAATTTACTTGAGATAAGACATGAAGAAAAACGCATCGAAAACGCAATCAAAATCCGTTCGATAGAGTGTTTCTAGACAATGATTCGCCCCTGAGTCTTTAAACGTATCATCTAACATGTAAAATGTTACTCGTGTAACCTAAGGAGAATACCAAATCATTGGACTTGATTAGTCTAATTTCGTGTCGTATATTCTCCGTGCTCTTGGCTATAGAGAATTGATTCGAGTTATTGTTTAAAGGAGGCATTTGTGCACGAGCCGTTAATCGCCATTGGGTATATTCTAATTAAGAAATTTTATAAGAACTCAGCTGTAAGCTTTCTTATGCAATTGGGCAATAATTGGGCAATAATTCACCTAATAATTCACCATGCAACTCTTTCCAGCAGCTATGCCCTCGACTGGCATTTAATTTCCGTCGCTGATGACAATGTATATGCATTTTCTTTCGTAAGCGGTTTTCCAAAAATGAAATAAATTATTTCTTGAATATTAAACTAGACTGAGTATGAAGGGAATACTTACTACATCAATCAGTTGTGTCAACCGGAGTCCCAGTTTTACGGTCAGCTTATCGCTGTTGTTTCCCACAGGACGGATAAGCTTATTATAGCCGCTTTTATACAGCAAGTCGTCATAAAGTCGCTTAGCATCTGCTGTTCCCTCACAAACTTGAAATGTCAAAAAGAAAAAAAAAAACATAAAGTGAAGGAACAGATAGACCTTAACATCATTAGATGCAGACACTGATTTCATCCAGAACTCTATTGAGAATATAGGCTTAAACTAACATCTATCAACCAAAATCTATATAGGGTAAAAGAGCAATTATATAATGATGCGTGTAATAAATTGCTATTTATAACATTTTGTACATTCATTTCACGACTGTGTGTCCATAAACTGATTCAAACCCCTTAAGATATATCATATTTCTTTAAAAAAACAATTTTTTTCTCAAATATTATACTAATAGATAACATGTAATAAATATAAGCTTTTACTGTGAGTGTAGCAAAACAATGCATATTACAGATTGCTTGTGTATGTATTTTGGAAATAATTTACGTTAAAATGTTTGACCAAGATTAATCACAAAACAACAACAAAAATGAGATCGCACAAGAGACTTGTGATGACGAAGGAATAACAAAGATTTTAGTTCGGAGGTACAGAAATGAAATAAGACAAAAAAAGTGCGCATGTTGAATGCTTGCTATGGGTTTTAATTCTAAAAAATGCATCGTAAACGCGATTAAAAACATTTTTTTTGTGTAGAGTTTTCCGCCAACGATTCGTCTATTACTTCTTTAACGTTCATTGAGACAATTGCCAGTGGGCAAATCAATAGACAGACTTCTCACGAGGCCCTAACTCAATTTTCTAGTTTTCAATCAGTTACATGTATAATGAGACTAGTCAGTAGATATTTGAAAGGTGTTTTCGGGGATATCCCACAGCACCGAGAGAATCAATTTTAATGACTAATTATTACAAATGCTTATTATTTGGTAGCAGTGGATGAAAAAAATGCCACAAGATACGACAGAAATGTAAAATAAAGAAGAACTTCTCATCGATAAATCTGGATATAGATATATAAGACATTTTTCATGCGCATTAGAATATAGTTGCTTTTTAAAATGCGTCTTTTTGAATAACATTATTTTTGGAAAGCACTGATCTGGCCTACTTCTTATTTTTTGATATTCAAATAAAGAAGACCGTGTCAAAAGCATCCCAAGGTGCAAAGTTTTCTTCATGTCTGACAGTAAATCGAAATCTACCCCGCTTTGCGAAAAAACAAAGCAGCATTTCTTCCACATTGATCCCGTCTGTATCTCCTAAATACTGCCAGATACTAGTTCAATGAATTAACAGGAACCTTCATCATGCTAAACTCCATTACAGATATACGGGGGAAATATGTTGTTAATTCCGCGACAAAGCTGTAACGAAGAAAAACATGTACGTGTATTTTGTTTGACTAATCAGAATGACACGATTTCCTTTAAAATAAGGGCTAAGTTCGTTCGAACAGAAGGAAATTCTGAATCAGAAGAGGTGCCAAGTTTATTTAGTTCATGTAGCACATATACCCCAGATTGTACAACTGATCACCGGTGTATTCTCTTTTAATCGTAGAATTAATGTCACCGATATTTTCATAGGGAAGGAAAAACGTGGCAAATATTGATCTCCCTACCCATAAAGGAATATAAACATGTATCTATAGCTATATGCTCAAATAAATCTCATAAATCAAAAACGCCTGTAGTGCCTGTGCGGAACCCAGAGCTATGTGAATGCATGGAGGACGTCTCTTATCGGTCATTGTCGGTTTCAAAGATGTTTAAAACAAATTTTCTGCCATGAAGATAATTAATTCCGACTGGCCAGGGTGGCCGTACGTTCACACTTTATCGCTGCTGCATCTCACATCTCACATCTGTATGTTCTTATTTTTCAATTTGCTCTCCTTAGCTACCACTCTCCTCAGTCATCTCGAATTTTGTGGCCGATCATCTTTATAATTTTTCTCATATTTCTAACTATCCTCGCCTCGTTACTGCACGATGAAGCTACTTTTCTAATATCATGGCGGGGTTTGGGCGTTATACTGGATCTGATTACATTTCAATTTTTCAAGTAGTGTAGAGCCGCATTTTGCAACCGACCAAAGTGCGGCTCTACTTAGTAGGACCGCATTTTGGAACTGAACGTATTTTGCAACCGGTTGCAAAATGCGGTCGGTTGCAAAATGCGGCTCTACATAGTCTACAACTTGAATTATACATGTAGATGGAGCCGTTGCCATTTGACATGGTGAGGTCCGGGTCTAATTTGTGACAGAATCATTTAGCTCATTGTACTTGCTCTACCTCAAGTGATACTGCCGTAGCAAGTGAAAGCTTTATACGTATAATGTACATTATGTACGTTGGTTATACATTTTTGTTGTTTCAATCTCTCTCCCGCGGTTTTGAACTTATTACGTGTATTTATGCCAGGAGGAAATTTTCTAGGGAACCTATGTATGTCGTTGACTTACGTTTTCGTTCTTTTTTATTTTTATTTTATTTTATTTATTTATTTTATTTTAATTATTTTAATTTTTTTTCTTTGCAAGGTACATGTATTTAATATTTTTTGTATGATATTCTCAGACGACTTCTGAAAAGAAACTGTGACTATAGATATTACTGGAGTAAACAATTAAGATATGCGTTCTATACCACATTTTCATGAGCCAGTGTATGGGTCTGAATATGTTTCATTGATCGCTCTCTTTGTCAAGAGAAAAATATCCTCTTGCTGCTTGTAAACGATAGTACTCCCCTGAGTTCAACGAAGGCTCTTGTCAGCTGATCGCATTAGACAGACCCAGAGGGAATGCTTGGAAATATACTCCAAACAGAAAAAAGTGTCAGTATATATTGTGCGTCATTTTAATTGCTATTTTGCTAACAAGTAGACCTATATAGTTTTACTTAGATTGTACGAATTTTTAAACGCAAAACACGCGGTCTTTTAACAATTATTATTATTATTTGAGGGTTTTTTCAATTATCACGAAAGGCAGTATACAAATGCCACTCTTTCATATGCGTCATTTATTATCTAATTGATTTCCTTTCCGTTTCTTCGAAGACAGTATTTATATCGTAGGGATTCTATTTGATTATAAGCAGCTGATTTAATAATAAAAGTAAGTATTCACGTGCACATTGTTGTGGACTCTATGGAATAATTAATGGATATAGATTAACATTATTCCTAGATGAATTATAACTCCTTTGGTGACTTTTTCATTGTCGAAATATTAATAATTGGTTAATGATATCTCAACCCAAGCGAAGATAGGGGAAGACACATACTGCATTAACGACAGAGACACTGTATTATTAATGAAAATAATAATCTTTATTTTAAGAGGGTAAAGCGTGTGAAGTTTACACTTATCTTCCACATTAACCTCTATAATCTCCGTATATTTTGTAATATCAGATTTGATTGCATTTTGTGCGTGTGATGTGCACATGCAACTTAATCAATGAGTTAGTCGCAAACTAATTGTTGTTATCTCACTTCTCATGCCAACTTGCTCTTACTCAAATGCTCAGGCGTTCTCAGAAAATAAGAAAAAAAAATCCCCATCAATATTGTTTTCGACTAAAATGAAATTTAGCCCTCTTTCATGATATTTCCGATGTCTGTAGGAGTCCTGAAAACTGAGGGAAATTAATACTTGTATAGCCATAATTCACGTACCAGTAAAGGTGAAAAAAATAATGCACATGTACAACGATCAAATATTTATGTCCAAAGGGTGTTTCAAGTGTTAAATTGCAATGCGCAGAGAAAACCATCGATTAAGTTCACCTTTTGAGTTCACGATGTTTTACCAATGGGCTCAATAAGTGGACATCTCCATAATCTGGAACCGCAATGGTATCTCTGCGCGATATGTTACCACGCGTTCAGGTCAGACTCTCTTCCTCTCTCAAAAACTACTCTTAGCTTTGAATAATGAAAATATTCTACAAAAGAGAACTCTGATAAATATTTTCATTTAATTTTTATGAGACAAATAACGAGGTGTAAGCAAAACTCACGACAGTCGCTTATTGCGATTCTCCTCTGCAATGGGAGTTCATGGAGAACAAACGCATAGTGCACTTCACTTATTTAAAATTCCTTTGAAACCGTTATATTTTAAAGTTTTTCAATCCGTTTTATGCTAAGAACTTTGCCTAAATAAACTTCTTTTTAAATTTCATCAGACGGTTTTAATCATTTTTTTTCTATGCTTGGCATTACTTTTGACTATGAAGATGATCTTTGAATATTGAATTATCACTGTTTTATAATTTTTGATGGGGGGGGGGGGGAGAGGGATTCATTTCGACGTCATTGAGGGTATCTACATACATAAAACTGTGGTTAATGCGGTCATGCATGTACGACATTGGGATATAATTTTTAGAGGTTACATGGCATTCAGCCCTGGAACATTTTATGACCAGTGACTACACTTGGATATATATGCAATCGTATTAAGCAGTCATCTTAGGATTTCAATACCAGTATACTAGTACTAGTGGTTGGCTGACCCAGTTATGCCATATTTTTTCGGTCACCAGAAAATAAGGAGTAAATTACCGCAATATGTTTTGATGCATGTCGCATGTTCTTGTGCACGTTTTGTTATCCCAAATTCTAAATCTACTGAGTAAAAACAGTGGAAAATATAGCACTATCTAACTTGATTTTTCCAGCTGATCTATATCAAATACTGCCCATCGGGTCATCGAACACCCTCACCAAATGGTCTCCCCTGTTTAAACACCCTGGGTACAAGGCAGCTGCCTCATACTGGGATCAATAAGCTGTTATTTGATTCTTTCGCATGGTATAACAAATCAATGACAACTATAACAATATTTCTCTCACAATTTGCAGTCTAAAGGACGACAATAGTGTGTGTCAGCAATTGTTCGCAATGAAAAGAGGTTATGGTTATCGATCAAGATCGCGAACGCGTTTATTTTCGTAATACCGAGAATATACTTACCTTTAAACGTGAACAACAGGATGACAGACGCTCCGAGCACCATTCTGTTCACCATATGATTTCCATCGGACTAAGTGGTCAGAGAAATGAACTGCTCTTTCGTGTTAATGCCTGCGACAGGAAAAAACAATTCTTTTCATTTCTATAATCATTTTTCTTTACTCCAGCGTGGAATAATTAGTGGAAAAACATATGCTACATCGATACAAAAAAGCATTTTCTTTGAACAGGACTTTTTCATTAAATGACAACTTTTAATTGCATAGTCTTTTCCTATACCAGCCATTAATTTCTGTAACTACCTACATTCAGCAATACAGAAATAGATTAGACATTCACCATAGAAAAATCAACACCAGGACAGTGGAACTGACACTGTCTATTAGGCGACTAAAGCGCTTTTTGTTAAAGGCACACGCTCGGGTCCTTTAAAGATGATCAATGATGTCTGTCAAATGCTCTGCACTACGTTTTGCAACTTTTTGCGGTGCCTGCAGTATACGCATTTAAACGTATTTAACAACACGAGGTGCATTCCATTTATTTGTGTTTCTCTTTTTACTGTTGAAACCACTACGCAACGGTTACGCAGTATATCATAGCTAGGGCTACTAAACTGGTGATTTTTTAAAAGTATGCACCACAAATAAATAAACAAATTGCTGATGAAATAATGAGAATTACGTATATGTGATATTATTTTTATTATTACTGAGTTCTACTCTCGTCCTGGTCTTGAACATGTAGTTTACACCGAAATGTAGCCTATGCATGCAGAAGAATTTTACTTGATGAAGGATTTGAGGTACATGTATGCGCGCCTAAAACAAATAACTTACTTTCCACTTCGTGCACCTGTGCCACGGTTGGGAGTCTCTGTCCTGACCAGTGTCACGCGGTTAACTCTGTTTTCCTATGCTATCATGCCTATGGCACCCGGGGCAGTGATATCGTCCCAGCCGTTTCCTCTCAACCCTCGCTTATTTCATCGAAGCTTCTTACTAGCTGCGTTATAGTTTTGGTAAACCATCTCGCTGTGCAGAGAACGTCCTCAAACTGGTGTCTAATTCAACTAATCTTAAACACGCACTCGTCACTTTTTATAGTCAGTATATTCAATGAATGTGCCAGGGTTAATTCGAACCGTGCGAACAATGATTGAACAACTGCTAAAATTGAGAAGTATCTTCGATTATTTTAGCTGCCGCGCCACTACTCTCCTGATCAAATGAATTCCTTTTAGTGAAGCGACGGAGAGCATGTTCGATCGAGATCATTCGTTATACTATCAAAAGCCTTTATGTGTTGCACAACAAATGCAATGAATAGACTTCTATGTGAGATAAATGCGTCTATGTTTATGCATCCGAAGAATAACAAAAATAACTTGTTAATGCAGTTTTTGTTCTAAATTTCATTTTTCTTAAGCGTAAACCTGAAATAACATACCCTGCATTATAGATGAACCAAGATTAGATATTAGTGCCACATAAGTCAATACTAACACTAGGGGGTTTGCCTATCATCAACGACATGTATGGTGATCATCAGTGTTATCGTCGTATTATATATATCCTTCTTACAGTTTTACTGCTTTTTGTCAGATTTAAATATTTCATTGAAAGTAATGCAGGCTTCCTGGTTAGGCTGCTCATTTTCAGCTCTCGTAACATCCAGTGCATCCCATCACTGCTACCAAACCGGAATGACTAAATTCGTTAGTACACTAGCCAAAAGATCTGTTGCTTCAAGTCATGAAAACAATCGTGGCCGAAGAAATACTCTGTGGCTCGACAGAATAAAATAATATAGTCTCGATAAGCCAACGTACGGCTTTCTTACGGCTTTAATTAATATAGCTTGCTTTGGTATAAATTAAAACATAAGGAAGACGTTTCGCCATATCTGTGGACGAATCGGCCAATCTCAAACTCCGGGTCTTCATTTTTGTCTATACCATCTTGTACATTATTAATAACAATGGTAGCTACACATTAAAACAAATAAAACCTAAGTTATTATTATTATATTATTTATATTTATACGCACACTTTAACGGGTAGTGTGGTCCGATCTACTGGTGAATGAGGATCATTCGGTGCCGAGTCTGGTAGTTGGGTAGGCCTGATCTTTGTTTCTACTCCCTCGAGCTCTCCCTGTATATGATTGTCGTTTTACTGTTACAGTTGTGGTGTATGACCCAGGCACCAATCCAATCTCCATTTCATACAAATATATTCCCAAATGTCTCGGAAAAGCCCTGTCCTCACGATAAAATATTGTAAAAGTCACCTTTAAACCTTACGCCCACCAGTTACTCTGTCCTCGCCGTATTGTTTGAAAACAAATTTTCCATTCTCTTATTTTCATTTCAGTTATTATCAATTACACCACTCTGATACATTTCACATGTGCATGAAAATCACTTATTTATTCAGGGGCGGAAAGAAGGTCAGAATTATTCAAGTTTACATTAACGGGCATCTATTTTTTTATTGGAAGACGGTCAAGATTTTTCAAGATTTCGTTACTGCTTTCCGTGACTTTCTTCAGCCCCCTTAACACTGGACGGCGTCCTTTCAGCGTCCCGTAGTACGGCTCCGTTTGAGAGTTTAAAAAATAATGCTAAACGTGCAGACAACTGGCCGATCACTGAGCAATCATTCTGCAATCAAAGCGACCCTGTGCCTCCTTACTACGGCAACAGCGATGCCAGTTTCACCTATAACTTAAAGGATGCAGAAAGGACGCCGGTGAATGTAGATGTCATGAAACTATAGTCGCCTCGAGTGGTTTAGATCAAATCAAAAGCTGACAGTCTTCTAAATTAACTGTCATCAGTTGACAAGCTTACTTATTGCTGATCATGATGCAATTCAAATGCCTGGTAGTTGATCAGATGGCACTCTAGAGGTCGTAAACAATTAACTTTTTAAATACGCACCGTCACACTCCCCAAGCCAGGTAATGATAGGTACTCGATCTGCAACATCTCTCCCTTATTTCATGGGGTAATATTATTGGTATTCTTTATTGAACTTTTGATATCGATATTTAAAGCAAGTGAATTCAAACACGGTCGCTAATATTCATGAAATAGATCGCCCTTAGTGTATCCTGAAGATGCGCATGCTCAGGCATTCATTCCGAGGAAGAAGACGACAAAACTTGGTTGAGGAAAAATGCAAAAAACTAAAGAGCGGTAATATATATAAGAGAAGAAAGAAAAGATTCTGAACAGCCCTAATAAATGCTTCCTAATCCTGTGTGTGTGTGTGTGTATGTGTGTCTGTGTGTGTGTGTGTGTGTGTGCAAGGGTGGAGATGGGGCAGTGGAGGATGAGCCAACAAAGATAATTTGGAAGACTGGCAGAAAATATCTCTGGATCAGCCCTGTCCAGTGTAAAGGGGGCTTAGCGGTTACTGCATTCATCACGCTCACTTGTGAGTGGTAGAGCTAGACCTATATACATGTACATTTGTACCTGTGATTATGTAAATCGCTGCATCCCACAGAAATAAGAAAAGGGCATATTGGTTACTCAGTTTTAAAAATATTGTGATATGTTCGTTGTGTTGCCCAACCGGACCCAGGCATTTGAGCTAAGTTTGACAACACCGTTGTTTGAAAGGGATGGGGGAGGTCTGCTTGCAACCAGGGTCACAGATTGACTTTTCACAGGATATTCACAGATATGTCTTTAGATAAATAGACGGTCATTTTACTATGGCTTTCCCATTTGCCCTTTATAATTTACCCTCTACCAGGGCCACAGATTGACTTATCACAGGATATTCACAGATATGTCTTCAGATAAATAGACGCTCATTTTACTATGGCTCTTCCCATTTTTCCCTATATAATTTGCCACCCTGGTAGAAGGTAGGGGAGGTCCAACGGGTGTCCTAATTTCTTTGAACGATGTGCGCATCGGTAGAATGCTGGCCTGCCACGTGGGCTGCCTGGGTGCGCTTCCCGGCCGATGCAACATGTTTTGGTCCAGGTGTCTCATCTGTATTATTTTTGTTTTCCCAGATTTTAAAAATATGTTGTTTACACTATGTTCTTTACGTATATTTGCAAATATATATATATATATATTTTATTGATTTCTATAGATGAACTTTGAATAACACAAATTTAAAGATGAATTATTTTTAAATGTATATATTAATTTTTAAGTATTAAAATACTTCTTGTTTTTCTTTTAAGGATAACAACTCTCCGTATGAGATTCATATTACACAATAAATACACTGTTAACAACTTAAAGAAATACAATAAATTCTTTTTAACCACCAAATGGCTGTCTTCACATTTATTCTGGAATCTTTACTTGCCATCGGACCACGTTACCTCCATAGATGACTACCCTCTGTAATAATTTCTTAACCGATTATGACAAATAACCGAATTTTTTTTTAAAAGAAAAGAAAAAAAACAGGGACTTATGGTGAATGTCGGAACGGATTCATTAACCATTGGTAAGTACGGGAAAATATTCGTTTACCCCAGGAAAATCCATTTTGGCCAAAATGAACAGGTGTTATTCCTTCAATGTCTTTTGGGCCAAAAGAGGCAGTGTTGGTTAGTCGGATGTGGTTTCAAAAGTTAGAAAAAGAAACGAAGATTTAAAAAATAACATGAGCAATGTCTCTGGGGATATCTTTAGTTTAAACGACTTATGCAATGCATGTTCCTTGTTCAGGATGCAATGAACGCGTAAAACTAATACCTGTAAAGCCCCCTTTACACTGGACGCCGTCGTTTCTGCTTTACTTGCCGACAACTGGCCGACCATTGATCATCATTCTGCTTGTGTTTCGTTTCTACGACCACAACGATGCCAGTTTCATGGTCGCACAAAGGACGCAGAAAGGTCGCTGTGTTCGTAGAAAGGATGTTTCGTCGGATGTTTGGTCCAGTATCCTTTAGGACAAGCTCTCCAATCAAACCAGCCACCAGCAACTTATTTTCCTTAGTGGCAAACACAGGATATATTTGACATTTGACTACAAGAATTTGCATATAAGTAAGTCCAAGTAGTAAGTTTGAAAAAAATATATATATGTGTGTTTGTGTGCATGTGTGTGCGCGCGTGAGTGTGTGTGTGTGAGCGCGTGCGGGGGTGGGGGTGGGGATGGAGGATAAGCCAACAAGATTATTTGGAAGGCTGTCAAAAATATCTCTGGATCCGCCCCTGGTTACCACAGGGATTGCGTTTGCTGAATTGCGTCAAATGTGCATGTCATAAAAGAGCGACCTAACGGTACTGATTGTTGTTTGACAATAATAACCATGTAAGGTCTCCAGTACGTGCAAAGGGAGTGGATTGTCCCTTACTTTTCTGAAAGTTTAATTCGCTTAGTAAGAGATATTACATCAGGATTTTATTTATTCATTTACTTATTTATTTATTTATTTTACAAATAGGTTTTATATCATCTAAAAATCAATTTATGCCATGATTAAGGCTTCAAACCTCGGCCACGATTTGTCGTTTGGCCATTTTTTGTGATGGTAGGCCTTCATTAATGTACTTGTATGATATACGCGAACGTGTACTTATTGATGCTCAGCATCAATCTATGTCACTTCTAACTATCTCAACGGTCAATCTGTTCTGTTTTGGCAAATCATTAAAGGAATAGCGTTAATGACGTCATTGTCCACTCCTTCCTAGAGTTTATTACACAAATTTAGCCTTTATATCATACAGTTAACAACAGCCGCAGCATTCTTCTAGGAGTCCACTGATAGTCAGTCAGTCCATGCGTAGTGGCTTGTAAAACAGTGTGACTTGTCATACGCGGCACAGTTCAAGTTTTGAGGTTTGGAGTGGCATTCTGTCGTCGTAGAGCGTGGGGGCTTGTAGAATAATACCAAGAGTTCCAACTAAACACGCCGTTGTGAATATCCAAAGAAAAAGCCTGTCCAGCACCATTGCCACATAGCGCCAATCTTCTTTTACCTACAAAAATAAGCATCCCTTTATTGATAGACGAATAACAAACAAGGGTATGGGTAGCCACACACACACACACACACACACACACACACACCAATTTCATACACATACATTGTAACTGCTTATGATAACTTTTTAAAAAAATTACCAAAGTTAAATAATCAATCGATCAGTCTTATATTTTAATGTTAAAGTGTATTTAATCAAGTATTACATGTCAAAGTTTACCAAAACTATAAGGCCAGTCACGCACGTAATTTGAATTTTAGTTTATGGCCTCCTTATTATAAAATTATACTACTGAATTTAAATGGTTGTGCGAAATCACAACGGCGACTTTGAAGTAAAGCCATTTTTAAAATGCTGAAATCATAGAAAATACTTACCATTTATCTGGCCCATAGAAAAATCAAACATTTAGTTCACACAAACGAAAGACAAAAAGAAATTCTTCACTGCAAAACGCTACTTTGAAATAAAAAGCTGTTTGATCAACAAAATAAAAGGAAACCCGCAGTTAGGGTAAAATGAAAAGAAATAAGATTACAAATGTTCAGGGGAATATCTATTTAAACGATTATCGGTTGGTGCGATGAAATGATCCCTGAAGCACAAGGGTTATTATTTATACAGCAAATGCGCAAAAATAGATATAAAAAGAACACAATATTTCTCAACCTCGGTGTGGAGACTGAAATCAAATACATGTAGGAAAAACAGTAAATAAATTGTTATTTTCATACATGGATGTAAAAGGCACGCAGAAAAAACACTAGCACTGTTAGAGCTAGGTAGCTGCTACAGTATCACACGAAGCACGCGATGCACTGTTTTCCTTTTCTTTGAACTCACCATATCTTCAAGATCTTCGCTTTTCAAATGGTCTGAGATGAATGCAACTCCCTCCAGCGCCCTCCGGACCTCTGAAGAATACTTTCTGTTCTTCAAAACGGAATTTCTGTCATCTTGTCCACGAAGGAGACTTTCTTCTCGACTGTGGCGCCTGTCGCCGAAGATTTCCCGTACTTCTACACCATTGCAAGTCCGCACCATCACCTTTGGCGTCTTTTCCCCTTCCGGCGTGGGTCGCCGCATCATCAGCAGTCTCGGTAGAATCTGGAGGAAAACCTTCTTAACCCAAGGTGACATCACGTGGGTAGATGGACTTCGGAAGTGGACATTCAGCACTACGACCGTCACGATAATTGACAGCGACACCAAGATCATAGTGAAGAGCAGATACTTGCCGATGAGTGGAACAACTAGTGACGTCGGTGGAATCAGGTCGGCCAATAGCAAGAAAAACACAGTGAGTGAAAGCAGAATGGAGATACACAAAGTAATCTTCTCGCCGCTGTCTGATGGGAGGTAGAACGTCAAAACAGTAAGGAAAGAAATAGCCACACAGGGGATTATCAGATTAACAGTGTAGAAAAGAGTTTTTCTACGCAGAGTGACATTAAAAGTAATAAAAGGGTGGGGCTCGGGTTTGGAATTGTAGTATTTTGCCTTTCGCTTGGCTGGAACGTCTAAGAGGTCCCATTCCACGCTGCGAGAGTAGTCTTTGAGGTCTATTCCGTACCCAGTGGAAAACTCTTCACGATGACCATCGAGCTCACATATGTGTTTTAAGTCCACTTGCAGGCCATCGTATGTCCATGACCCAAACTTCATAGTGCAGGTCTGCTCATCAAATGGGAAAAATTCGACATTTATCGGGCAAGCACTCTTGTATATAGCTGGTGGCTCCCATTCCACTCTCCCAGTTGGGTACACAGTGGCTTTCGTCAACAAAGTCACCTCATAATTTCCGTCCGCGCTGAAAATTGTAATTGACAACTAAATTGATAAAGGTAAGAATATTGTCATTCTATGGTTATAATCCCTAAGCTCTCAGCCCTCAAATAGACGATAAAACATAAATAAAACAAACCCCATGCAGAAAGGGTGTTAGTAAACATAAGCAACAAGTGACCGGTACCACAGGTACTAAGCTTACTACAAAAAAAAGTGAATTATGCATGCTGCTGCCCTAAAAGAAGGAAAATATTTCATTAGAAAAGATAAAGTTCATTCTAAGGTGATATGAACCATGCAGGCCTCATCACATGCATGTACAATGTAAAGACAAATGAAATTTTACCCTCAATGGAACATTGAAAAATCATTATTTTTTTTAAAGAATCCCATGAAAATTTGGAAGGATGTATTCCCTAAAATATAGAAGCAACCAAGATTAGCAGTCCATGTATCGTGAAAAGGTCAAGTACGTTAATCCCTGTCTCCGCCAGGTTACATCACAGATATATTTATTCCAAGATGATACACATTAATATATCTATTCTTTCTCACTACCGCTACGAAAGAGGTTTATTTAGATAAGATGATTAAATAGAATTTTCCTTAAATTAGAGACTAAATAACATCAGTCAAACACGACGTTTCGGTCCACCACCTACGGAAATTGATCAGGATTCTTTGCCAGGATACGACGCTCAGGAAACAGAACGCTACCGTAAACCCTCGGGAGTTGAAGGCTCTGGTCGCAGGTAGTGAGTGTGTGTGTGTGTGTGTGTGGGGGGGGGGGTTCTAATGAAAAAAGGCATTTCGTACCAATTTTCGTCTTTCACAAGTATCGAAGCATGTTTTCAACTCGTGTTTAGAGCGTGGTTAGAGGTGTTAAGAGCGTCGGATTCCGCGCGCAATCAACATTCACAAGGCCAAGGTCCATAGGTGGGGGACAGAAATGTCGTGTTCGACTGATGTTATTTAGTCTCTAAGTTAAGAATAATTCTGTTTTATCAATTTACCGATTGTGACATAAATAAGGCAATGGTCATATAAGAACATTAAAGTTACGGAACATACATGCATTTGGTATACACCAGATACTGACATGCGTATGATGCACGGGTAAGGTGAGCATTAATATTAAAGGCGTAACTCCTGTACGCACAAATCGTACTTAAGTTGCATGCAATTACATGTATCATTGCTCATGTCAGCATGTGGGTTAGAAATAGGCAATAGTTAAAATTTCCACAAACTGTGTTTGTTTCAATCCAATCTTTCAATACGTGCTGGCATATTGTAGTTTTAGTAAAGCAAGAAAGACAAATATGAGGTGCCATTCGTGCAGCTAAATAGTAATAATAATAATGAACAGACAGATCGTGTTTTCCTATACACCAAAGTGTAATAGAATGCCCGGAAGAAGACCAAATGGTCAACATCTATATATTCTATGACGCTACATGATTGAGGCACACGTATTCTCTCAGGTGGCGCATGCATGTAAGAAGTCAGCGAAGCTGAGCGATTACGTCGTATATCTCCACTCTGCTGATACTCTCAACATCCTTAGCAGTTGTTAATTATAATATTTACACTCCTACGATGAGATAAGATGTTACCCATGCATCAAAAGATGCATATATATACTAGTACATTTGTACAGGGGATATGAATGTTAAAGTAAGCCACTCCTGCATAAATCGCTGAAAAAGCGTAGAGCCTGAAACGAGAGCTTAAACCAGTTTATTAGTAGCAGTGATTCACACGCGCGCGCGCACACACGCACACACACACACACACAAACTTAATACGGATTTCAAACAACAGCACTTCATTAGCTCTGATTTCTGTGAACTCATACATGTACACAGTAATATAAATCAAAGCAAATCTAAGCTGTTTATTGCGGTTCGTTTGCAGCTGCATGCTCCTCTTTAGATAGCTGCACACAACGTTAGTGATGTCATTGATTTGGAACATCTAAATGTCGACCCCATATTTAATTTTTTATTTCTACATGTGGCAAATGTTACATTTCTAGTTATGATGCGGTTTGAATAAACCTATATCAATAAATAAGTATAGGCATTCCATTCCAAAGTATCAAAATATCACTCATTACTTAAAACGGTTATTCAAAAGAAAAAATTAAACATAAGCGAAGTGGCGATGGATAGCCCCATTGTGTTTTATTTTTTTCATAACTTACTTATTATACAGCACCACGTCGGGTTTCCATAGTTGTTCTGCAGGAACATATAGGACATCAATATTGCCGTAATCTTTGGGATCCCAGCGTAAACTGAGGTCTTCCCACTCCTAAGGAACAATTAATGTGATTGCTATATTATGCATGTTCAAATGAGCGCAATTACTGCTAAGGTTTGATTAGACTGAAAGTAAAGTAAGAAGCTTTTGATGAACCTAGAGAGAGGAAACATTTTATAAAATTCATAGCTAAAATTCTGGTTCAAGCTCACGGTCTCAAGGAGAAATATAAAACAACTCCTGACAGCAAATCTGAAGATTTCCTTTGTGTGTTATTCATTATAGCATTGTGAAATTTGTTACAATAATATATGAAAAAATGTTGAGTTTAGATAGCATTTTAATCTAATTGTTATATCTAGGAAACTGAATACTTAAAATATTTGTCACAAAAAATACCCTGTGCGTCCAGGGTGTCCTGACCCATTTCAAACCCATGAATCAGACCAGACCATGTAGTCAGTGCATTTATTTATACAGTTATATTCATCATGCGATTTCACACACATACCAGTACGTTAGGTTGCGTATCCATATTATTACCCAATACAGATTGTCAGTTGCCAACTCCAGAATAGATCACATTTGGCATAAGCAGACAGTTAAATGTATATTATTTTATTTTTGTAGGCGAGAAGATGTGAGATGATGAAGGTAAGGTAGCTAAGTACGGGGAGAAGAATGATTTGCAGCACGGAAAACAATGATACGCATTCTTGTGCCGGTGTTATGCTGGCCACGAAACGGGGCATTTAATGAAATACTGAAGTGATAACCTTTGAATCTTGTTTCATATTAACATTTACTACTGGTTCCAATTTCAAACAATTGGAGCAATGCTTTGCCAGATGGAATCTTCCTTCAAATGAGTTCAATATTTTTTTTCTTTTTTCAAACGGTATGTGTTAAATGTGTGAATCCAATAAAACTTTCCTTTCTATTGTAATTTGAAAGCTGCACTTACGTGTGTAAGCCAAACATTTGTGGTCATAATCTGATTCTTCTCATCCTATAAAAGAAAAATGGTTCAATGCACAGACATTTACATGAAAGTCAATTTTTTACAACAGTTTGGCAGAAAGCAGTCCTTTCAAGCATCAACAAAATAATGATTTTATCAATTGCTTATATTTCTATTTATTTTACTACAACATGGTTTTCTTCAGATATCTACAAACATATACATGTATGGTATTTGATATATAATAGGTAATGAAAAATCGTGATTGCAAAGACACCCAATTAAGAAAACGTGGAGCACCATTCTTCACATTCATGTAAATAAAACTTATTATAAAATCATTGCCAACATGCTTGGACCAGATGCTGGACTAAATACACGGGTAAATTGAAACGGCACTCTCTTTGCACTGCGCCGCACTGCACTGCACTACACTGACCGCTATTCTCACACTTACCACATCGATAAGCTGTGTCAGTCGAAGGCCCAGTTTGACTGTGAGGTTGTTATTATTGTCACTGACAGGACGAATCAGTTTATTGTAGCCTCTTTTTTCAAGTAAATCTCTGTAAAGTCTTTTGGCATCGACTGTCCCCTCGCATACTAAAATTAAGAGTTAATAGCTTGCAAACAATATTCACAAAAAAAGTAACATATATATAATCAATCATTTGCAGCAAAGAGACCGTCAAGTACCGCCATCTATCAGCAAAAATCCCCATATTTATGCAAATACATTCTGTTTGTCAGCGAGTTTTATCAAAAAAATGTTATCTATACAATACAACCAGCACGCACTGTAGTAACAGAATAGCAGAGGATTTAATAATGGATTTTCAGAATCTCGGTGCCTAGAATTGCATCATTCAGCATAGCTGCAATATAGCAGCTCTCTCTTGTAAATCGATTGCAGTGTTTTTCAAAAGACCCTAACTTAATCATGTCAGTATCTATTAATGCATCGGTAAAAGAAGCACGTCGCTGAATACGTTACTATCTAAGTCCTTTCAACAGATCAACTGTTACAACATTATCGAAAAAGGCATTTTAAGAACCTTCAAGAATCTTCATCCCCAATGTGTTTAATAACATTTTATTTACACTTTGAAAGGGTTTTTGTGGAGGCCCTTGTATCTTTTTTCTCTTTTCAAAATACGAGCTCTTTAATCAGGCGAAGCACTCTCTTGGTCGACAGGAGCTCGTAAAAAGATACGGAAAACATCCTTCCCCCCTTGCAGCCAATTTGGTGGTTAATTGGCATTGGCACGGAGTGGTTTGCTCTCAGCGTTCGCTGCTTCTATCCAATTGATCTAACATAAACCGAATACGCGACTGATCAACACTCCTAATTAGATTACAAGCCTGGTTTCAATCTGCAGCGGTTAATGCCAATAAATTCCGCAATTGGAAACTCTCCGCTGCAGGGAAACGTTAATAAGAGTTTCATCTTAAAAGTGTTCTTTGCACTGTGTTAAAAAGGACAGTTGTAAATTGAACTTATGAAACTTTGTTTAAATATTTGGACAGACAGGCTGTGTTTCTAAGCACACATTTCTTCACTTCAGCCAAGTAAACGCATGAGGTTACTTGTCTTCCTTCAAAATCTCAACTTGCGTAAAAATGTAATTGTAAGCGAGGACGAGTTAGTAGTTGTTACATTACTGTAAAAAAGACGCTGCGTACCCATGTACAACGGTACCGATACAGGTTACCCCAAAAGAAAACGGGAAGATGTACGACATCGACAATGCCTTTTTATTACAATATTTGTAGAGATATCTAAGAAGCCCCGCCATTTCGTCAGATCTGCCGGCGGTCAGTGGCTTTTTGTGACAATGCAGACAGACTAGACAAGTGTGCAGCTTCCGTCTAGCTGCCTTTCTCGTAAGACTATGTCCACGGTCATATCATATCCCCACCGGGAATAGGCTGCTTTTATCACTTCGATCTCGACTACTTCGGAATAGCTCACTTTTTCCCGTCCCATTTTGTCGACAAATGATAAATAGCGTTCCACCATGAATGGTTTTATTGATTTAACAATAGCAGTTCCGGTACTTCAAGGGATTATTGGAAATCCCTTCTCGAACCTGTCATTAATCAACAATCCTTAAATGCGTACTATTAATTGTTATAGGTTAAAACCCCTTTAAAGATTTTAAAATTAATACAGGCATGTTTTAGATTTATGAAAAAATTTATTGGGTATTGTGTTATCATTGTAGTTTAAAAGCCCTACCTGTAAGCAAAATAAAAGGGACTTATTGTTATTTCATGCTTCAGAGGATATCCATGCTGTTTGTTTCACTAAAGCGCTATAAGCTGGCATTAGAGACTGGTTTAAAGAGATTAATGGCTATCAAGTTTTTAGGGGAGCAGGATACTTTTGTCATAATGAGTATAAACGTACATAACCATTTGAAATTCTAAATTTTCTACAGAAATGAACACTTTTTTAACACCTTCTTTCAAAAGACAGGTACGAATATTGTCTTTCACGGAGGTTCCTGTCATCACGTCTGCAGGAACCTCAGCGAAGCCCGTCTTTCTCGTCAGAACATGTGTCCAGGTGATGCGTATAGCACGAACTTTTTAGGAAAGAAATACAGTGGCAGCATCTTCCTGTGGATAGAACGCCACAGGGTACAAGGTAAACAGTAAACTCCAAGGGGCGATGATAAATCACGCGCTACATTTTTACAGACAAATCATGCTTCTTGATTGGTATCAATATCCCGCTCCCCAGGTATCCCAACAAGATACAGCTAACTGCACTGTTCCAAAGTTCAGCAAGGTAAGCTGCAGCCTGCTGGTATGCCAAAGTTCAGCGCGCGAAGTGATGAGTCGTCTGCGTTTAAGTCTGGCAGTTTGCGCACTGAATACCAAAAAAAAAAAAAAAAAAAAAAAAAAACCCAAAATAAATAAATTCCGTGAAGAACTTGGATCGGTATCAACCAAATGAAAGATACTGTTAGTGTCTGTATGCTGTGTGCTGTTTAGAAAGAAAGTGACTGGACTAGTTAATTGTATGAGTGTGTCCATGTGCACGTAAACTAAAGATAAGAACTCTCACTTCCCAAAATACACAGCTCAAGTACTGACGGTACACGTACCAGTTATCGCCAGCTTTCGTGAAACAACAGTGCTTGCTTAAAGATCAACTTGAAGTGTTTATGTTATATTAGGTAAAGGGGCAAGAACATACATTTGGCCATCATCTGGGTTTACTATCTATACAACAAGCACGTTCATACTGGCAATAAAAATACATTAAAAATAAGTTAGTTAGAAACAAAAAAACTATAATCGCACATTATGAACGTCTGTTAAAAAGCGGCATATTTTAAAATTTTGTTGAAATGCAACTTTTCTATTTGTTCTTTGTTTATTTATCTTATTCGGTCTGTTAACTTTCGTCTTGTGCGGCCAAACCGAAAATGATCGATGGCTGCTTTGTACTGGATGATTTTTAGTCTAGCTGCTAAGGCAGTCCCACAGGTTACATATGTATTTTGATCTCAGTGCTGTCCGTCTGCACTGCTAGGTTTTATATTTATGTTTTATTAAAATAATTGTGTGTATCTTTTCAAGCGTTTAGATGAAAAATTGAGTGCACAATGAAAATTAAAAGCCCTAAACTTATCAACTCCGACTTTTTCTATACTTCTGTACTTTTACTCAAACATCGCATTTCCAGTGGGTTTCAGTGTTCAATTGCATAATGATTTAACGATCGAACTTAAGAGAAGATTAAAGATTTCTCAACATTACTTAAATCTATCCGACGGTGCCTTGAACGGAATTTCAATCACTTTTTTTGCATTTGTTAAAGAAGTTGAAAATGGACACCAATAGCCACCAGAAAAAATAAACACCAGTCAGATATATCTTCATGAATAATAAATAGGGATGTAACCGGTCATGCATATCATTTAAGGGCATAGATTTATATTTCCCCGATGCCATTAACTACGTAAGGCCTGACGTAGGGATTATAAAACATAATTACTGCCACAGCTAGTGTTATAGATGTTTTCAGGTCAGCTTATTCAGCAGATTTAATTACAAAAAAATGCGTCTATCCGACCTTACTGCACCACGTTCACGTTTGGAATTCAACAAAGAATTTCAGTGTGCATGTAATAAGTATTACAATCTGATATACATTGCGACAAATATCATATTTCATTGCACAAAGAGAGACATTATCAAAGTTTTTGTGCGTTTAACATAATGTTTATTGAACTGTTTTAAAATAATTGCTCAATAACAATGATACTTATGTTGTTATGTCGTCACTTATAAATGAAGAAATTATGGTAGCATTGTTTTCATAAGTAAAGGCACAGTGTGGGCTATGAACGACACCACTTAGCTGTGCATAGACACTATAGTTATTTTTATAATAGGGCATATTTGCGCAACATAGGCCACCTGAGTCCCGCCGTGACCCCGTGACTGTTGAATCCAGAGCCAATATTTGTTTGTTTGCTGTATACCCACGGGAGGTAGACATACGAGTAGTATAAATATAGCACGCAAATTGAGATTTTCGCTTTACATTGTGTACTGAAATTAGGCCGTTCATACAGATCCGTTGTCTGAATTGTTCCCACAAGTGCCTCTAAACCCCTATACGGACTATACGCTGCCATCGGTCTTAAATCTAGGAGACTCCATGTTTACGAATTTATGGGGTCGCAGAAATAAAACATTCCATTAGACATAATGCCTTATATGAAATTATTAATTAATTTAGTGTTACTGATGTAAATGGTGATATGTTCTAGTGACAGTCACATGTATAAAGTAGTATTTAGATGTGAAAACATTTACTTGTGGCAGAATGTGCTCTTTTAAGTCGTTAAAACGGCTCAGTGTTTGCTGTATCCTATTTATTGAAAATTTCCTTTAGTACGGCACAGCTGTGAGAATAGGTCGATATCTCGTGTCTGGAGACGAATCAATGTAAACAGGCTTTTCACTCCATCGTCACAAACCTTACTCTGCAAAAAATGTATTTTTTATTCTGTAAGATAAAAAGAATTGGTTCATGTCAAAAGGATCCATTCCCGACATGCCATACATGAAAATAAACCCTTACCTCTACACTCTAATAAGAGAAGGCTCAACATGTGCAGAAGAACGGCCCGCCCCAGGCAATGGTTCACTTGTGACAGTGGCATCTCCCAGTTTTCATGCAACCTGTGAGCCTGCTTTTCAATAACCTCGGTGATACCAAAAATAACGTCAAACTGTTGTTTTCACTTTTAAGTGAAATAACTTATCCAAAGTTATTGCCCTGAAAATAATACACATTTGAATCAGTTAATATAATCAGAGTTGATGTCAAAGTATTTTGAACAAGGAATGATAAAAAGACATTAATAATTAGCTCGACAGTCGCTATTTGTAGGTCTCTCTAATTGTGGGAACGATATCTTCGAAAAAAGCCTGATTTTAAAATTGAGCCAATCATTTAACTTTCACCGCAGGCTGAATAAAGATCCGCTTCAATGGATACAAACGGTATACTGTCTTACTCCCCATTAGGAAATAGTGTTTTGATTGATTAATTCAAGCTTCTTTTATAATTAGTGGAATTATCAATTTTTGTAAACACAACGTTTTCCATTGCTTGTTTTCCTTACATTTAGGCCTTGAAGCATGACACTGTACACTTTTGCAGCATTTCAGATAACGATAATGCCTTTTCTTGGTAAATTATTTATAGGATTTGATTTGAAGAACTGATGCACAAAACCACAGCTGTACCTGAACAAAGCAGTGATTTCCCACAATATTCAATACAGTCTGTGTAGAACATGTATATACTGAAATGAAGTCTTGTGCATCCATTCACAATGCAGTAAGGAAGGAAACTAATGCCCCATTTCGATTCGACACTTTTTAATTGAAAATAACCTCAACATGGCCGTTGGGATAGAAGGCAGGCAGAGTTAACGAAATCGGTAGCCGAGTTGGAATAAGTATCGACTGGCAAGACTGGGTGATTGATAGGGCACGCTGGCGCTACCAATCTTCCGTTGATTGCTAAAAAGAGTCTTTTGGGTGAGATGCTCGTGCATTATACACAGCTTAACTCTCCAATACCTATTTTATATAGGAGGCCATATTTATCTGGCCCTGGGTGGGGAATTGGTGTATTGCACATTTTGTTAATTACTTATGAAAATGGTTTATTTAAATTAATTTTCCAAAATCATTTCAACGTGTTTTCCATGATGACACAGGTTTTGGTTGAAATTATTCCGAGCTCTGCGTCTACCTGTATACAGTAGGTGCCGCAGATATGTAGGCCTACTTAATTAACTATATCTAAAGGCATTTGTTGATTAAAACAGAAGGTTTTTAGAGCAGACTACTTACTGTTGAAGAAATCTGTGCGTTGCATATATAAACAGAAGTACTGCCATGTATTAAAATTGATATCCCACGGCGTAAGACGCAATCACTGGAAATTGGATTGTCTCTCCCCGTCCTCTTCTACTGCTAACGACTCTGATCAATGGTGGTTAACACCGATATTGTGCGATACTGGGACTCATGCTGTGAACGGTGTCAACTTGAACTTATTTCCAACCTCGCGTTCCTCGTTTTCCACAATGAAATCTTTTAAGGCGAGTTTGAGGTAAATCTTGCTTACACCTGACTGGAGAGTCCTGCATAAAGAACCGTCGAGTATTTGCAAACAAACAGATTCTAACCCCTTCTGATCAAGTGAGCCTCTTTGTGGAAACGAGGTAGAAGTATTGGATTGAGATCAATGCTTCGATCACAACCTTATGCATCCTGGCTATAGGAAAAACACTATCGACAAGATAAAATTTAACTTGAGTTAGATCATAATATATCTTTATTTATTTTAAGTCATCCATCTGTATTTTAGTAGTAGAAATGAATTTTTATATGTGTTCAATTGCTTAGACCGTTTCGTTTCTCATGTTTGACGAATCAAGATTTTACAAGAGGACACCAAATTTTACGTAGCTGTAAAATGTTCAAACGGCTGTAGCAAACCAAAGCTGGTTGAAAGCGCAAATAGGCTTACAAGTACGTATGATCTCCCTGGTAACCAAGCCACTGCACAGTGCACTCTTGTGAGAAAGCGCACACACTGTGCAAGCGAGATATATTCAGAGTTAATTAGCTCTGTTGCTCTCCGCGAACTGCTCCTCAGATGGCGTATTTGCCATTAAATGCCACATTTCGACAATATATCACGGGAATAGGTTCAATTGTGCCTAATATATTATTCTATTTGACTGTACGTGTTTTGATTGAAAATACCAGTGGAGAGGCGGATTGTGCGGTGTACACAGACTACCCAAGCACTCTATTGATCCTCCTTTATTTCATTATGCTATGCTTGAGTGGGCTCTTGCTAACTTGACTTCGCCTTAATTCATAACTATATTTGTCGCCAAACACCAGTCCGAAAAGAAACCTGAGCTCGAGAACATTGACTTCTTATTAACGAAAGACTGGGTTAAAATTATTCTTATTTTACCTGATATGATGAAATTTCTGTGCGGAAGAGTAATCTCATCTTACTTTACTCAATAGATTGATGACATGTGTAGGCGGATTCTATGTGTAAATATTTCGAAAAATTCCGACAGATTATCTCTAAATACTTTATCGTGACTTACTCTATAAGCATAGGCTACTGTACGCATTCAGATATGATGGAATAAAGAAGTAACCGTGGAATTCTACAGACACACAAAATGAAACGAAAAGCACGACAGTTTTGTTCGTGCCAGTGGCAGCTTAGGTGAGAGAGAGAGAGAGGGAGAGAGAGAGATTTCTCACCTAACACACTGCGATTAATAGAACGTGTTGTAATCCTCGCGACTGGAAAAGCACTAGAACATTTTTGTTGTTTTCATTTACCAGGACGAACTTTTGAAGCGTAATTTGATGTGATATATCATTGATTTTCCACCTGTATTTACTTCAAACATTCGATGTATTTAGATTATCCGAAAAACGGTGGCGATGTTGCTGACATTAGGCTTATTATATAGATACTATATTTGTGGCCCATTCTTGCGTAAATGGGTTAATAATTGAAACCATTCCCGCAGCGTTTATGTTAAACTAGATGCTAATCCATCTTAAGTTGAATTATTCCTTGTTCGTACAAATTTGAAAAAGTGATACAGTAAACACAGTTTATTATCAACGACAAAAGCAATACAAAGCGCATGCAAAATACATCAGTTGAATTTTAACAAACTATAAAGTTTTGTTATTAAGTAATGTTTAAAAGCGTAATGAACCTGAGTAAAATGAACAGCATTGAAATATTGCTCATGTAAACACAATACATATTTTCAAATTAATCGATTATAAATATGTTAATAGTTAAATACCCACTAATAAGTAAAAATATTGCAAAGGTCTGTTTTGTTCATGATCAGAACAAAAACAGTTGCCTAGCATATGAAACGCTATTCTTTTTATAAAAAGGCTTTGCATAGCTAATAGATCCACTGCCTCTTTTCTAGTTCATTAAATAATTGTCAGCAGTAAGGAGCTGTATTGCCCACAAAACTAAATAGTGTCTTTACATAAAGACTGGTAAAAGAGATTTAGGAATAATAAGGGAATGAAGAGAGACAGAATGTTAGCGCAGAATGTTGACTGATGTCACGCTAATGTTAGAGATAAAATAACTGAGAATGCTATTCGTGTACACTGTATTATCATCTTGTGTAAGAGGCCCCTTTTGCACTTATAGGCCAATATAATGCCGTGGAAAAACGTAAACTCACGAAGGCAGAGGCCCTCTCAAGCTGGCGAGTAACTTTTCGAGATAGTTTACTTGAATATGTCGAGTTACACCAACTGATTACAATTTCGTTTATATGAATAGGTCCATACAGTTTACAAGGAATTGAAACCGTTTCTCAACGTATAAATATACCCGAAGACATAAGCTGAATATTTTACGGGGAATCATTAATCTTGTTTTCCTGGTACATGTACCAGGATACGCTTTTTTGAGGTAATAAATTAAAGGCATCTTATCCGGAATTTTTCTTTTTAAAAAGCAGTTTTCTCCTACTCAAGGACCATTGTTCGACTCTTACATTTGGATTGAGTGTTTTATACAATTTGGATTTTTTCAGGTATTAAATATTTCTCGTAACGATAAGAACGACATATACTACTGTACATATTAGACGGAAAATTGAAATGTTATTTTCGTTTTTAGGTCTGAATTTGCAGAGATATGTAGTTTTGCGGGATATGTAGACATTTTAAAAATATCTGACTTTGGGACAGTCGGAAAATTGCAGTAATGAGGTACTTGGTATTGGGTGAAAATGTTTTGTATTGTGTAGGATAACAATGAATGTGATACCTTATAACAGAATTTGAAGTATTCAGGATGTAAACATCTTAGATTTCAGATCGTTTTGAAGAATTTGACACCAGCAGTGTCCTGTCCTTTGAAAGAATCTTCCTTCGAAAGCCACGTTGTGGTATTTGATTCTCTGCTGTTATAATTGATAAGTTTCTGCAATTCAGTATACAAATAAATCGCTTATCTTGAATGCTAGTAGTGTGTTTTATGTGGTGTAGATATGCAAACCATGATACCAACATTTTTAAATTAAACATAGCAAAAAGGTCGAATACAAACAAAAAAAGTAAAGTAAGAAGAAAGGAAAGAAGGAAAGACCAGCAGTTCAATTGTGTGCAGTAATAATATTAAAATGCTTAAGCATAAAACAAAAAGAAAACGCTACGGGGATATATATCGAGGAGGATCCAGATCAATTGTTCTTATTGATTGGCGACTGTAGTTCTTTTTTAGGCTTTGGTAGGTCCTCGATCAGCCAGAATATGGGGCCCATCAAAAAAGATCCCAGTTGCACCTCCGGCAGTGACGATCATGAAGATGAAAAATAGTAAACGGTCGATCACGTGAGCTATGTATTTCCAATCCTGAAGTACCTGAAAGAGTTATTCAGATAAATCAATACACGTGAGTATCTCTCAGCAAAAGGCTTTATCTCTATCCATTCCTTTCTTTTTGAAGACAAACACTTTTTTAAATGACTTAAAAAGGGACATACAAGAAGCCTGATTATAATTCACTTACCATGGCTGTTTCATCCACGTTTTGCAGGTGATCGGCTATGAAAGCGACTCTTTCAGCGGAACCGATGACGTCACTGCTGATACTCTTTATATGACCCATGCACTGCGGGCAACTCCCGTCGTGGACCTGAAGAACTCCATCCGCCCATTTGGGCGACAGATCAGAATTTCCAAAAAAGGCAAGATTGATCATTTTTTGATACTTTTTTCTCCTCTTCAATCCGCGAATATACAGAGCGTCGTGGTTGGGTCGTCTTATCATCAGAAGTTTGGGGAGGTAGTTAAGAAAGACTACTCGCACCCAGCGGTTCATTCGATGTGCTTTAGGAGACCTATAATGCCAATTAATTAGGATGACTGTGTTGAAGACTGATATGATATTCATCAAGAACGTAAAGAACAGAAACTCGGCGATAAGAGGGACTGCTTCTGAGTTTGGTGGCAGAAGCTTAGACACAAGAATAATGAAGAAAACCAGAGAAACGAGAACTGAAATTGTCAATGTTATTTTCTCCCCTGCTTCTGCGGGCAGATAGAAATTAAAGACACTCAAGGTGGCAATAAGCATACATGGAATAATCAAATTCACGATGTAGAAGAGAGTTTTCCTTCTTATTTTCAAAGTGTAAATTACTCGTGTTGTCTTAGTATTTCCCTTTTCGATCTCTATAATTTTTCCCTCTCCGTCGACTATGCCCCAGATTCCACTCGGCATGTAGTCCATTAGGTCAGTATTACTGTAGTTCCAGAAGACGCTCCCGTCGGCGTAATAACTTATGTACCAATCAAACCCAAACTCTTCACTATTGTATGTCCATGAGCCAAAATACATATCACAAATCTGCTCATCAAAGGGGAAATATTTGACATCCAGTTGACATGAACTTTTGTAGATAGCGGGCGGAGCACGAAGAAGATAATTCGAGCCACCTGATGTGTCGGAAATGTTACTGTATATGATAACATTTGACTTGTAGTCCTCTGAGAATTTGCCGTCGGCGCTAGGTGGAACAAGAGAAAACAAAAAGTGCGTAATGACTCTTCAATCAAATGCGTGAGTTTAATCATAGAAAATTTATGTGGGGATGTCAACCAATTCAGTGTTTACTTCGCGTGTGACAGTACAGAAAATATAGCGGTTAATAATAGTGAGCTGGTACCTGTTAAATGACACATCAGGGTTTAAATAAAAGGATGGTATAAAAGAACTGTCTCTTAAAGTAAACTATACAACCACGATGTAGAAGAAAACCCATACTTGTGTTTCTAAAATGAATTCTTTGGGAGAAGAAGTATAAAATAAAGTACATTATTTATTTGTAAAGGTTTTTTTTACGCACATGCTGATACCGTGAGTATAGGAATTAAATCACAACATAAAAACTGCATAACTGGATGTGCATGCAAACAACTCTGCATTTCACATTTTTCGAGATTACAGGAAAAGGATCATTAATTTATTTTCTTCCTAAGCTAATTATCCACACATGTTATGAAGACATACATTTTACAGTGCAGATACAATATGCTTTACATATAATGTATAATCAGTAACACAATTTGAGTACAAAATACTTGAAACAAACACATAAATGCTGCACCTTCGCATTCATCACACCTACACTCCTGC